AAACTGAAGGAAATACTTGAAGAGCTTGCGGTACGCTGCTGCCTCAATAAGCGTGGCAATGATAATAGAGTGATATTCACTGTACGGGCGTTGCTCGCTCAATATGCCTTGGGCGCTGCTTGATTTGTTACTGTAAATCCCTTGTTGCTCTTTAGTTGAATGTTTATTGCATCCCTGGATTTGTGCCTGTTAACAATTTTCCACACTGCTTTATTCATATCAGAAAATTGTAACCTTTCACATATTGCATCTTTCTTATATTTCAATAATAGTTTTTGGTATTTTTCTCTTAATTCTTTATATTTAATGTAATATATTTGTAATTTTGTTTCTCTGTAAAATTTATGCCAGGTCATCATTTCCCTCATAAGTTTGTGCTTGTTGGATTAATAGAACTTTTTGTCATTTTTGCCATTTGTATGCTTATATTTCACCAATCTTGTTGTTCTTCTTAAAGTTGACCTCCTTTTTGTAAGTTTTTATCTGTTATTGATCTTGTGATTTGTTTTGTGTCATTGCTATGATTTTGGTGTTTTGTTGAAGTTTAATGTACATAGCATAATGATCTGAAATGTGCATATTCAGTACACCTGTTGTGCTCTCATCTAAATTTTGGATTATGTTTATTAAAGTGGAAGAGTGAGATGTTTCCCTTGTTGGTGTTTTTATTGCAAATCGTAGTCCAAATGAAGTTACTAAACCTTTAACAGTATGAGTAGCAAAATCGTTATCTGCAATGTTTATATTAAAACCTCCTAAGATAATTATTGTAGATGATGTGTATTTGAATAAATGCACCGGCAGTTTTTCAAAATTAATGAAGAAACTCATCAAGATTTGACTTGGCGGTCAGGTTATGCCATCCACAATAATTTTGTTTGGTCCAGTAGCACACTGTCGCTATCTCAAAATCTTTCCCTTACAGAACTGCTTTGTATATTCTACTTTAAAGTGCCCTGATGAATTTCTTAAGTGCTACTTCTCCACCCTTGTGATGTTTTCTACAGAAATAGTCTATTAGTTTATACTTTTGTGGAGTAGTTTTGAATTTCTTTTTCTTTGAGAACGTGTTCTGTTACAATAAACATTTGTGGCTGAGTTTCATTTAATGCAGTTTCTAATACCTCTGTTTTGTTATTGATGTACTGCACATTTTGGTGGATAATTTAAAAAGTTTTTTTTGTTGTTGCTGTTACATTATTTTGCCGATGGATGGTAGAGTTAATTAGTTTCCCTGGCACTGGTAAGAGTCAGAGAAGTGGTGTAAGTAAAAGTAGCTATTGTTTTCAAGTATAAATTTATGTAGTATAACCTTTTCTTGAATAATTTGCAAGATCTCTTTCCCAAGCCACTCTTTCCCCAATCTAGTTATGTGCATGCCATGACATGTAACCATGCCTCTTATGTATTTTGCTTAAATCTAAAATACAATATTTGTGATATATTGAGAAAAGAGATTTCAGCTTAATATTAGTTTTCCTAATTTCCTTGTTCAAGCTGGAGACATACAAGAGATCGTGTTTATGAGGAATTGTTGTTACTACAATATTTTTATCTTTGTTTTCATTTAAAAGTTGTTTAGAGCCTGACAAACATTTTTCGGCTTCACTGCAATTAACATTTATCCTGCAAATACATACATGGTAGTCTTGAGTTGTTACATTGTGGACCTACCCCAATAATGTTGTTTGTTCACTCATCTGGTTTTATAGTCCCCATTACTTTACAGTTTCCATTTACCTCCTTAATATTGGATGAGAGTGATTTTCCTTGGCTGTCTCCATACAGTGTCAATTTTGGCGTACTATCTTCCGGTCAAGTACTGTGGCAATCCTTCGTGCTCTCCTTGGCTGCTCTCCTCTTGGTGGCAATGGTTTGCTCGATTTATTCATCCAGTCTTGATTACACAAAGCTGCAAATTTGTTAGTTGGCAGTTCACAGTCTTTTTACACTTGCCTGCTGCCTTCCTTCTTTCACCCTATTTCAATTTTGTTGATTGTGGCACACTGCTTGCGTTTCTGCAACACCTTCATGATGCCCATGTGGGCACGATCGCTATTCTAAATAAATAATTTAACTAACATAACAAATTAAATAATGGGATATTGCCTATTTATTTTAAAATGAAAACCAATAGATATACCTTGTTTCTACAAAATCAAGAGAGTGGGGAAAATTTTTATTTTGATATGGAATACTTTTCTGGTACACTCAGTACTCCAAAATAATGACATACATCATGCCAATCAATTGTGAAATTTTAGATAAATAAAAAACGTATAGTTCTTATGCAAACATTATAGCTATTCCTGATGAAACATCGAAAAAGTCTGTTGATCATAATTTTTATTCCGGAATTTTGAAATTGATACAAGAGGAGCTACTGATTGCATTTGAATATTATCTATTTCATCATCAACAACACTGGTGCTCCTGTCCTGTTAGTGGGTATTAAAGCAGTATTCCTTCATGTGGTGAAGTGTTCCTGGTGGTGCCATCTTCTTGTAGATCTGCGTCTATTCCTCTTGCCATTCGGTCTATAATTGAATGCTATTGTGGTAGACATCATTTGTCCATTCTTTTCAGGTGTTTTTTCATTTCCTTTGGTACTTTTTGATTTCTTCTGCTGAGTTTCCTGTTTTCAGTTCTTTCCTAATTATTTCATTTCGAATTTTGTCCCTTCATTTCACTCCTAACGCTGCCCTTAGAAACTTCATCTGAGCTACTTCTGTGCTCCTGGTTTCCTTTATGCTAGTTATCCACATTTCTGAATAATACTTAAGCATTGGTTTTGGTGTTATATTATGAATTCTTATCATCGTTTCTTTTCTCATATGTCCAAAATGTCTAATATTCCATTGTTTCTATTTTATTTTTATATTTTTCTTCTATATCCTTCTGGTTCAATCCAGTTGAATTTCCGAGATATTTAAAACTGGTAACTTGTTCAATTATTGCATTTTCCATTACTATTGTGGCTCTAAGATGTTCTTTTAACAGAAGGCTAGTGTTTTAGTTTTCTGGCTTGATATTTTCATTCGGTATTCTATGCTTATTTTGCTTAATCCGAATACTGCATTCTGTAGTCTGTTATAACTTCTGTTATATCATCTGCAAAAATTATAGTCACTAATTTCTGGTTGTTTGTTATCTTAATTCCTGCTTGAGTTTTTGATTTCCATTTATTTAGACAAAAAAACACTTAAGAACTGTATGTTTCCATGTTTTTGTCATGTGATTTAAGAAAAGTTAAGTTGGGGTGACTTGTCTTAGATCTTTGTTCATCTTCATCTGCTGTGTTGTGCCTTGGTCATTTTTAATAACTATTTTGGAATCTTGGTACAGACTATTTTTGATTAAATGTGCTGGTACTGTTTCTTCTTTCAGAATTTCCCATAACTTTCCCACATTGTCATAGGCCTTTTCGTAGTCAATGAACAGTATATATGTTGGTAAGTTATGTTCTTTCCTGTTTTCTATAATCTGTTGTAGTGTGGATATTGCATCTATTGTACTTCTGAAATCCACTATGTTCTTCCATGATTTGTTTTCTTCTTTGATTTTGAGTAGCCTTTGACTTAATAAGTTTGAAATATTTTTGATGTCACTGGTATCATGCTTAATTTCCTATAGTTGTTACAACTTTTCCTGCATTGTTTTTTAAAGATGTTGTACATTATTGTAATCCTCCATTCTTGGGGTACTGTTTTATGTTTCTTTATCTCATTTATTAGTTTTAGTAATTGGATTTTTAGTTATTGTCTTCCATATCATTTCTGGTTTTATTTCATTTATTCCTGTTCCCTTCCTATTCTTCAGTTTGCCTATTACATATTCTAGTTCTTCCATTACTATTTCATCCTCTTTTTCCTCTTCTGTTACCATTTCTTTCTCATTGTTTGCATCTTCTTGTTTTGGATTCTACCATCATCTTTTGTAGTGTTCCTTCCACTCTTTGTCCTGTATTAGGTTTCTGTTGAATTTGTCTCTTGAAGCTGCGAGTTTTTTCAGAATTTTATACCCTACCCTTTGTGGTCTTGTGAAGTCTCTCTCCAATTGTTTCATTTGTCACAATTGTTCCTCCTTTTTCAAGGGGTTGTAATCCTCACTTTTGCTCTCTCTCTCTTTCTCCCCCCCCCTCTCTCTCTCTTTTTCTTTCTCTCTTTCTTTCTCTCTTTCTTTTTCTCTCTTTCGTGGGCGTGTGTGAAGTGTTCCCCCATGGTCTTTGTTTGTAAGAATTTTTGTTAAGATTTCTTCTTTTCTGTTAAGACTTCTTTTATTTCTTATCTATTTTATTAGAGTACTGTAAATGTGTATTGGGCAGATCTCCGAGAAGATAGAGAGATAATGATGAACTGCTTTTGAGAGACTTGATCCTTCAGGAATATTTGCATTGGTTTTTGTTTGTGTAAAATTCAGTATTTGGTATTTGAATTCAAATTGTATATTTACAAGAGGAGCTACTTGTTGTGTTTTTAATATTATCTATTTTATTAAAGTAAATCAAGACGAGACTTAGCAGGTCTTCCGGAAAAGATAGAGAAATAATGATGAACTGCTTTTGAGAGACTTGATCCTTTGGGATAATTGCATTTTTTGTTCCTGGAAAATTGAGTATTTGAATTCAAATTGTTTATTGAAAAACTTTTTTTTCCTCACTAAGTACATCTGAGAGGTGCTCCAGAACACTATCAACTACGTAGAGATTATAACTATTATTTCTATTGTAACATTTAAGGAGTCATAGCACACATTACTTTAAAAGTCCATAGTCAAATTACAATTTTAAAGTTCAGAACATTGCTGGACAGTACCAAGACCATGATTAAATGGCCAAGCTCCAAAAATACATACACCATAAAAAGACAAATTCAAATCATCAACTCAAAACAAAAAAGAGAGAGAGAGAATATAATTAACATGATTCTTTATGATAAAAATTAGTAGTAAACAACCCTAGATATTTTGAAACTTGATGTAGCTTTCTTTGCCATCCTCAGAGAAGCAGTGGATTGGTCTGCTGAAGCAATTGCCTTCGTCAAGAACCAGATTGCCAAGAGTTCAATGGGGTATTTCTGCCAGAAAGGGAAGCACAACAACCCAAACACACTGTTTGGAGATCTCTATTTAGTGGCAGATGGAGGATTTCTGGATTTAGGACTCCTGCTGTGTTTGCAAAAATTTGCTATCTCTAGTCTGCATTTGTTTCTAGGTAAGTGACATTTTTACTTAGAAACTTTGCCAAGAGCCTTTGAAGGTTCTTCATTTCAGTTTTAAAGATAATTAATTTTGTATTTTTTAAAATGAAAATGCCATAGTTTGACATTTTAAATTTCATATTCCCTACCGGTAAAGGTGGCTTGAGGCAACAACTGATGTCACTGCAGTGCCTCTGACCGGGAAGTCAGGTTCAAATCTTGATGGTGGCAGATTTTTGATACTGGCTACATAGCTATGTTGAATTTGACCACTTTCTGTAGGAGAATTGTAGCAGCCATCTGCTCTGATCAGTAGTTTTCCATAGTTTCTCCGATCAACACCCAGCGAATGCCGGAGCAGTGCCCTGACAAACAGGCCAAAGACTACACACCATCTAATGGTGTGTCTACAATAAAAGCGTGTCAAGCTTTTCAATTTTTTAAAAGCCTGTTTTATGGTGCTTTAATTATAATTTTTTTGTAAGCGCTTGTTTATAGTGATTGTGTCATTTATTGTGCTACACATTGTGTTGAATTCAGCGCTGAAGATGGGCAAATAAAACTCCAAAAGTTCAGGAAAGTAATATAATTGTTTGATTTCTGGATCAAATCTCATGAAATCCCGTGTCTTTTTTTTTCTTTCTTTCTTTTTTTTTTTTTTTTTCAAATAATTCAGTATAATCTGAAAAATAATAAAACCGTACAATAAGCGATATGTTTATTGTGGTTAAGACAGGGACACTTTGTATGTTAAAAGGAAATATTTTGAAGAATCAAGGAAAACTTTCTATTGTGCCACTTAATACTTGAAATTCAGGAGTAGACATTGGATGTTTAGGAAAATGCCTTTGTTGTTCTAATGAAAATATTTGAAGGCAATTAATATATGTACTTGAATTTTGAAAAGTTAAACATTCTGACTGACTTTTTTAATATTATTATTATTATTATTATTATTATTATTATTATTATTATTATTATTATTATTAATTTATTGCGTTAATGCCTTTTTGGACATATTTTTCTTTTAAAATACTATTTTCTTAATATTATGAATATTTCTTTCTAGTCTTGGTTTCCACTACACATTGAATAATTGTCAGTTATACTAATCACATTAATTGTCTACTGGCGACGAATCTCCAATTTATTTTTTGTCTAGACTGAAGCTGTCATTTGGGCAACAAGTGGTGGGCTCTGGACACTTGGTTGAGCGGTGGGTGCATAGGTGAGCACTGAGCACAGATTTGCTACGTAATCAAAGCACTCAAGTCTAGTAGAGGGCAAAGGCAATGATACTCACTTCCGTCATTGATATCTTTCCGGGTGAGATGTTCTTCTGGGAAGTGCGCAGTGTAGGCTGATCATTGGGACCTATATCTCTGCCGGGCGTGAGGTGCGTCTCCATTCTGCTTGCAACAGTCTGAGTTGTGCAACATATGAAGTACTTCTCTAAAGTCTCTTTAAGTGTAGTAACTGAGCTCAGTTGTGTCAAGATACCACTTACTTCCTATTGACTCATTAGTATTCTCTTATGTTATATTGTTTTTTGATATTAGATAATTTTAGGTGCAAGTGCAGTGAAATATATTAGTGCTTTTTCCTTATGATTTTAAATTTTTATTTACTTTTTCTGTACTTTTTTAAAAATATTTTATTGCTATTTAGGTGCCTAAAATGTAAGTTTTAGTGCCTTAACATCCAATGTCTAGTCTGGGATTCGAGGTTCTGATCCATCACTTCTTTGATGATCATGCTCACATTTTGAGATAGGAGTTTTCACATCTTGTGCAGTCCGGTTTTAATAAATAACATATAATCCTTTCGTGAGATATAAGGTTTTTTCAAAACCTTATTGATCAATAAAACCTTATGATCTTTATTTTTTCTGGACCTCAGCTCATTATATAGTTTTGGGCTTATATATGCCCTGTCACATTCCTATGTCAGCATTCTGCCTTGGTTTACTCTGTGAGAAAAAAATAGTTAAACAGTTTTTATTGGTCATTATTGTGTAACAAAGGGAGGAACTGTATGCAGTGGTGTCATGGCAGTTTTCATAGGTTACAAAATCGACTGTGGTGGTCCTTTTAGACAAATTTCTAGGAAAAAAAGCTTATGAACTTATAAATCCACAGCCAGAAGAACTCTTCAGTTCTTTTGCCTCTTAGAAAAAAATAATGTATAAAATTAAAGCTTAACAATGTTCATGTATAATGTAATTAAATATATGATAAAGTTAATTGCGAGATGCAGAATGTATTCTCAGCACTGGACATTCCTTATTTGAATGTATCATGATTGTAGAATTCTCTCATACAGAATCTGAAGTTTCCTAGTATCTGCTCGAAGTTCACTGATTCATGCAACTATACTTGATGTATATTTATATGTATTGTAAACATTTGTTTCAGGAAAGTATGCTAGAGATTTAAAAGCAGTCTCCAAAAATAAATTCATGTCATCATCAACTACACCTGTGGTGCCTTCCAGAACTTCTCAATCTAGTTACCAGTATACTGAAGATAATGTTTTGGATGAGCCAGTAAAACCGGAAAAACACAAACGACAGGATAATCAAAATGAACTTGTAAGTAAATTTTAAATATTCTCATTCACAGGTCATTGTATTGCTGCTTGATTTATTATTACTATTACTATTATTATTATTATTATTATTATTATTATTATTATTATTATTATTATTACTATTATTATTATTATTATTATTACTACTATTACTATTATTATTATTATTATTATTATTATTACTGTTATTATCACGATTATAATAATTAGTTAATAATATATTATTATATTAAAAAAGATGGAGTAGTGTGTTGCTGAGTTAAAGTAGATTGAAAATTTAATGAAGTAGTTGTTTTTCAGCATAGTAGCGAAGTTAAAAAGTTACATTTTATTAAAGTAAGTTGATATAGAGTGAAGTGTGGATGACGTGTTGATGCTGTGTGCTATTTTGTAGAGATGGTATTATTTACTGAATAGCTCTGTTTACTTTTGTACTCAAATCATGAGAGAAGAGTTGAAGACATGCTTGTGGAAATAAAGTGACAAATTTTATTCCAAATTGTAAGAGATAAATATTTGGTACATATTTACTTAAAATCCTAACCTCAAAATAGACAAACTTAATCTCCGAACGGAGAGAAATGTAAATCAACTGAACTCTGGTAGAGGCAGCACTGGCGTATCTGGTGGCAAATTTGAACACGCATCTTTTCAAATATTAACGCAAGTCAGCACTTACAAACGGAAGTACGTCTCTGGAGGCGGAATCCATCTTTCCACTGTGAAATTGGCTGTTCTAGTGATGACAACGCGTTGTGTGTTATATATTGAAGATTCATATAGAATTTATTGTCTAATAGTGCGAGACATATGCAAGAAAATACTACCAACTGTCATTATTGTAGAAAGCATGTAATCAAAATCATAGTCTACTGAACGAATTGTCACAAGTCCTACCACCCCAGTTGTGGAGATAGAGTGAAGATAAACTCAAATTCAAATGATTTTATATGCTGCAAGTCGGAACCGAGAATGACAACGATGAGCTAATTAAAATATTGAAACAAGAATTACAAAACAGCCCTAAAAGTCTTAGTGATAGAATATCTCAACTAGATGTAGATCTGACCAACAATCAAAAGAAAGGTCTGAAAATAATTAATAAGGATGTCAAAAAATTAGAAGATTCAATTAGTAAATTGACAACTGAAACTAAGAGCTGTTAAGCAGGACAAAAAGATCTCGAATTAAGATGCAATAAAATGGAATCATCACGAAATATAATTGAGGAAATCTCAACATTAAAACATCTCAAAAGAACCAATGCAACTTCTGAATTCAAATTTATACTTCTTGAAGAGATTAAAGAACAGGATTTAGGTAAGAGAAATATAATCCTCTATGCAATGAGTGAATCGAGTAGGGCTGATGCAGGGGAACGTCAAACTGAAGATCGAAAAAACGTAGAAGATATCCTTAGCAACCTGGAAATGGACTCAAAGGACTGTATAATACGCACAACAAGACTGGGAAAAATAAGTACCGTTTCCTTCAACCCCAGACCTATGAAGGTAGTCATTAGAGATGCCAACATAGCCAAAGATATTTTGAGGAACAGTCGAAAACTACCTGCTGGAATTAAAGCTAATAATGACCTTACTCCAATGCAAAGAGAGGAACTGAAAAATCTTAGAGCGAAGCTCGTAGTTGAACAAAAATCAAACCCTAAACTAATTGGAAATATTAGGGGTAAACCAAGGATCGTTAACAGGACGGGCTATAATTAAACCAGTTATATTATACCCAAATACATCGTCACTAATACCAAAATTTGATCAATTTCTTGAGGAATTCAATACTATACAACTAGACATTATAATAATTACTGAATCATGGCCAAATTCAAAAATTCCAGTTCGAATGGTATCTATCTCTGAGTTTACCATTTACCACAAAGACAGATCTGATAAACGAGGAGGGGGAGTATTCATATATGTGAGACAGAAAATTGGGTCAACTATTGTGAGAGTAGAGGAAATCCGTGAAATAGAAAACCCTGTTTTAGAAACACCATGGCTAAAACTGATAATAGGTAGAACACAATTTATCATTGGAGGAATATACACACCACCGTCAACTGAGTCAAGACAAAGCCAAACAGACCTTAAACTTTTTGAACAAATAGATAAAATATGTGAAACGGAAAAACCAACTATAATCATAGGAATTTAATTTCCCTTCCATAAATTGGTCTAAAAATGAAGCCAAGCCCAGAAGTAGAACTGGAGTTTCTTCAACATTGTATTGACTCTAACCTAAGTCAAAAAATCAACGAACCTACAAGGTACAGAGGAAACCAAATTTCTTCTATTCTAGATCTAGTGCTGGTAAATGAAGATATTATCACCCCTCTTATCCAGAGACCAAGTATCGGGCAGAGTGATCACCTGGTAATTGGCACAACCTGAATGCTACCTAGAAGAAATTGACAACAAATTAGACACCCTCACAGGAAGTGTCAATGATTTAAAGAAAACCATTGACTTTCTATGTATGAAATATGATGTGATAGAAGAAATTAAAGATTTGAAAGCTGTGAAAGAAGAAATGTAAAAGAAAATTAATACAATTGACATTACAACTCCTGGGCGAATGAACTTGAGCAGCAGCTTTTAGATAGAATCATTGAATTAGTAGGAATCAATAGTGAAAATTCTCTCTTATTTAAAAAAATATCCCAAATGTCCTTTACTATCAAGTAAAGTGTGTAGAGAGTACATAAGTGACAGTGTCATAGAAGATATGTTTGTAGTTTAAAAAATCAGAAGTCAAAATGTAAAGGTAATCATGAAATTTATTTCAAAGGAAGTATAGACAAAGTTCTAATCAACGAAAAGAAGATAGTACAAAATTGAGACCTCTTGCAAAATGAAGACAAACCATTCTTGCATGTAAATAAAAACTTAATTCAATGCAATACAAATCTTTTATGGAAGACAAAAAATTAGGTCAAAGATAAAAGTTTCAAGTGTATGTGAATCAAAATGGCAAAATTTTCATGATACAAAATGAGGAGAGTGACATAATTAGAATAAGGAGTGAGAAAGATGTAGATCAAATTAAGTAGAAAGTTATAAAGGTAAGATCAAGTAAAATAAGAGTGCATGATACAAAGTCTTTAAAACTGACTTTTTTTGAACATTTTTTTTAGCATTTTAGCATTTACTAGATCCAAGTGTAAATTTATATACTATCTTTTGTTGTTGTTGTTTTTTTGTTATATTTGAAGGTGAGGGTTTTATTTGATTGGTTTTCTGTAATTTTATACTATGATAATAAATTAAATAATAATTATTATTATTGTTATTATTATTGTTGTTATTATTATTATTATTATTATTATTATTATTATTAATTTGTGGGACAATCAGCAAATTTATGAAAGTGAATAACATGGTTTACTTTTTCATTCTTGTTAAAAGTGTTTCCTGTAAATCTTCTTTATAATGTGAGATAATGAGGTTTTTCTGTGTGCAGATGCACACCACACAATTGTAAGATTTCAGTTGTTCTGTATAAAAATTTTAAGAAATAGATTCCTTTGGACTAAAATTACTGAAATGAAATTAACTGAATTTAATTATTAATAAATATAAGACCATTTTATATTCCAGATCACAAAAACAAATTTACTTTCATTACAAAATTGAAAACCAGTTGTTGGAGAGGGCGGATCGTTTGAAAGATCTTGAAGTCAGGACTAAATTGAGAATTGATCTAGATATCTTTTCTAACTGAAGGTTGAATTTTTTAAACTATGTGGCTCCTGAATTTCAATCTTTATACTTGTTTACATTGATATATTCAACTTGTTCAACCTATACTTTTCTGTTAAAAACTAGTTTTTAAATTTCATTGCTTGAAAAATGAATTTAACCTCTTCTTTTTTATCTTTTAATTATAGCCAAATTACTACCATAACTAATATTAGCACACTTAATTCTCACAGAATGTATAATTTGTTATTCATTTATAACATATGTAATAATAACATTAATAGTGTGCATCTCTTGTCTGAACTATATTGGAAAATTCCTTCAAGTAATTTACAAGATAACAACCAAAAACCTTTTGTATTCCGTTATTGAGAACAAATTACACCCATTGTACCCATTGTGTATAGTTTGGCAAGCAAGTCAAATGACTTATCAACTTTTGCCTTCGAATTTAAATCATAAGCAAATAATAATTTACTTAAGGACTTTTCTTTCTTAATTATAATAAAACTTCTGATTTTATTGTATTGGACATTTGTCTTTATCTATAAATAAATAAAAAGTAGGACTATTTCAGAAATTGGCTATAAATACATATTTTGTTTTATTTTAGGTGTTGAAGCAATCTGATTCTATGCAAGGATCAATGAGAAGAGAATTGAACACGGTAGAAAGATATCCCAACAAAGTTTCAAATGTGAATGAATCATTGCAAGAATCTGTAAACTTTTCAGAAATGAATTTCAAAACTAAATCTTCAGCGAAATTCCAGTTTTCTGATGAACATCGAGAAGTTATAAATTCTGAGTCTGTGCTTGAAAATATTTCTTATACAGGAGCTCAGAACAGAGATAAAAGACAGTCATTTCCCCTAAGAAAGAATTTTGACACCAAATATCAAAATAAGTTTGTCAGGCCTGATATACAAAATACATTTTCTGATTCTCTTAAGTGGACTGATGATGAAGGAAATGCAACCTGTACGACATTGAATTCAGAGAAAGTTCAAAGAGAAACCATTCCTACAAAAAAGAGTGAATCTTCTGATATCAATGTCTGTGATACTCATATCAGAACGTCAGAACGATCTGTAAAATTTTTGGGGCGAGATATAGAGAGAAAACCTGACTTGTCTAGGAATTTGAGAAAAGAACTCAGCCCAAAGAAAACTGAAAAAGCAGCAATTGATGAAGGTACAGTGCCAACCTCAGTAGGACAGGCTCATAAACGAGAAATACTTTCTTCCAAACATAATGTGATATGGGATATGACTGCATCAGATGAAGGTTCAGTTTTTGAAAAGTTTACAAATAGAGGTGCAAGAAAATCTCTATCTCCACAAAGAATGGATCTGAAAAGAATTGAATCCACAGACACTGATGCAAGACAGAACACATCCAAGGGACACTGGAAAAAAGAGACTAGGGTGTGTGAAGCAAGTGGTTCAACTGCACCTTATAAAGGTTCTATCAAGTTTACGAACAGAAGTTCAGTAAAGTCTGTGTCCCCTCAAAGAATCCACGAGGATAATACTACAGATACTGATGCAAGGTATTATACATCTGGGGAACATTGGAAAAAAGAGAATAGGGTATGTGAAGTTGGTAATACTGTTGCATCAGAAGAAGATTCCATTTCTGTTAAGTTTACTAACAGGGGTGAAAGAAAGTCTGTGTCTCCCCTACAAAAAAATGACTTGAATAGATTTCAATCCACGAATATTGATACAAGACGGGACACATTTGTTGGACTTCAGAAAAGAGATAATAGAAGAGTTGAAGCAAGAGGTTATGCTGCATCTCATAAAGGATCTATTAAGTTTTCGAACAGAAGTGTGAGAAGATCTGTGTCCCCACAAAGAATGCACCCGGATACAATCCAATCCACAGATACTGATGCAAGGCTGGACACACCTGTGAGACTTCAGGAAAGAGACAATAGGATATGTGAAGCAAGTGTTTCTAATGCACCTCATAAATCACTATCACCTGATAAAGGTTCTATCAAGTTTACAAACAAAAGTGCGAGAAAGTCTTGGTCCCCTCAAAGAACGCACCTAGATAGAAGTGAATCCACAGATACTGATGTAAGAGGAGATACATCTGAGGAATATTGGAAAAGAGAAAGTAGGGTGTGTGAAACAAGTAGTTCTGTTGCACCTCGTAAAGGTTGTATTAAATTTACGAGCAGAAATGCAATAAAGTCTGTGTCCCCTCCAAAAATGCATCTGAGTAGAATTGAATTTGCTGATACTGATGCAAGTCAGGACACGTCTCAGGGACTTTGGGACAGAGAGAATAGGGTGAATGAAGGAGGTAGAACAGTTGCACCACCTAAAGGGTCTGTTAAATTTATGGACAGAGATGCAAGGCAGTCTGTGTCCTCTCAGAGAACGGACCTGGATGGAATTGAATCCAGAGAGACTGATGCAAGGCTGAACATGTCAGAGAGATTTGGGGAAAGAGATAATAGGGTATGTGAAGTAGGAAATACTGCTGCATCACATAAAGGTTCTATAAAGTTTATGGGCAAAGATACAAGAAAGTCTGAGTCGCCTGTTAAGAATTTCAGGCAAAGAATGGACCCGAATACATTTGAATCTGCAGGTACTGATGCAAAACTAAACAAGTGTGAGGGGCTTTGGGGAAGAGGCAATAGGCTTTATGATTTTAGGAATGTGTATGATAGCCCTAAAGAGACAACTAATGATGCAACATGCATCAGTGAAACACAGTTGACTACAAGAGAGAAAGCAATGCCAGTATTACAATCTCATGGACATAATACAACCCGGGAGCAGAGAAATACTAGTGGATCTCACAGTGGCAACTCATTTGGAAGTGCAGAAATGTTTGACAATAATTCTGAACAGCTTGGAGACCAGAAAACTTTTAAAGGATCCTATGAAGAAAATACAAGTAATTGTGTATCGCAAATTGATCTGCCATCCAGCAGGAAAAGTAAAAAACCAAATCTTATCCATACTTTCTTCCCTGCTGGTTTCAACATGGCGGAAGCTGACAAAGTGGTCAGTGAAAAAATTGTCCCCAAAAGCAGTGTGAAAAGTACCAAAGCAAGCTATGGAAAAAGTACTGGTCCTTTTTCTGCTGCAAAAGCTGAAAATAATTATTCTATGTTTAAATCCAAAGATAGATTACTGGCAGACACTACTTTCAGTATTTTTAACGAACCTAAATTAAGAGATTCTGAAAATCAAACTTCACAAATGGCTTGTGAAGACAACTGTACTATTGTGGAAATGCCTGAGGAATATGAAGGCAAAAAGCAGTGGGACATATATGAGAAAGGACATAAAAGTATGTTTAAAAGGGAAGAGACTGAATCTATGTTTTTTTCTACTCCGTCTGAAACGTCCCATAAAGATCATGTTGCTCTTAAAAAATCAGAAGTACCAGGTATTGCACCTTTTTGTGATTCTTTTAAAGCTTGTAGAAAAGAAGAAACCTTGATCAAATCATGTTTGAATGGCAGACAAAAGCAATCTGTTTACCATACAGAAACTAAGACAGTACAACATGATGTGACTCTTAATTTACAAAAATCTAATTTACATGATCGTTTGTCTTCCAAATTTACTGTGAAGGAAGAGGTGGCAGATTCGAAGACACAAATGAAAGCTATGTGTAGTGAAACTGGGACCAATGAAAGTAGGTATAAAAAAGATTCATCCCAAAAAATAGAAGTTAGAAAAGGCTTGATACCTTCATCACCAGAGAAGCAGCTGTTTACCACCATAAAAGAAACAGAACACAAACATATGTCAGACAGGGAAGAAGAGACAGAATTTATGCTATGTTCCTCAACATCTGAAATCCCACATACAAATCAGGTGGACCTTAAAAAAGCTGATGATCCAGCTGTTGCACCTCTTTGTAATTCATTTAAAGCTGGTAAATATGTTGAAATCAAATCGTGCATGAATGAGGAACAAAAGCAATCTGTTCAATATACAGAAACTCAGACTATTCAAACTGATGTTACTCCAAATTTAAAAATATCTAATTCACATAATAATATGTTTTCCAAGTTACTTGTGGAGGAGGTAGCAGAATGCAGACAAGTGAAATTTGGGTATGATAAAACTGAGTCCTGTGAAAGCGAGTATAAAAAAGATTTATCCCCACAAATGTCAGATAGGAAAAGCTCATCACCTTTGTCACCAGAACAGCAGCTGTTTGCAGCTGTAAATGCTGTGAAGGAATGCATTGCTGTCACTGGAATTTCTGACATTAATCAAAGTGATTGTGTAACACTGTTAGATCAGCTTCTTTTAAAACTTAAAAATGTATCAAGAACTGAATCAACTGAAAACAGGGAAGTGAAAGCTTCACATCTTAGAAACACAAATGCAGTTGATATTAGTACAGTAAAACATTTAAAAGTTAAAGTATTGGATGCTATACTCAGTGCTACCTCAGAAGACACTCATACTGATAACTCTCTGGGCATGGCAGAAAGCTCTTCAAATGTGTGTACAAAATTGATTGATTCTTTACCCCCTGACAAGAATCGTGCAGCATCCCATGACCTAAATGATTTCACATTCCATACACCCAATGAAAGGGCCCTACATATTCCTGAGCTGGCCAAACCTGCCCAAGTTGAGGCAGCCAAACCTGCTCTGATAGAACCATCCAAACGTGCAACTCTAGTGCTGGAAAAACCTGCCCCTGTAGAACTGGCAAAGCCAGGACCAATTGATCTAGCCAAACCTGCGCCGTTTGAGCCGGCCAAACCTGCGCCGTTTGAGCCGGCCAGACCTGCTCCGTTTGAGCCGGCCAGACCTGCGCCGTTTGAGCCGGCCAAACCTGCGCCGTTTGAGCCGGCCAAACCTGCTCCGTTTGAGCCGGCCAGACCTGCGCCGTTTGAGCCGGCCAAACCTGCGCCGTTTGAATCGGCCAAACCTGCACCGTTTGAGCCGGCCAAACCTGCCCCTGTTGATTTGGCCAAACCCACACCGATTGACCAGAGTGTGCCTGACCCAGCCCAACCTGCACCAGTTGAGTTGGCCAAACCTGAACTGGTTGATACTGTTGACCCTTTACCGGTTGACAAGGCATTACCTGCACTGGCTGACTCGGCTGAACCTGAACTGTCCGAACTTGTGCCAGTTGATTTGACCAAACCTGGGCCACTTGATTTGGCGAAACCTGCTCCGGTTGACTTGGCCATACCTGTGCCGGTTGATTCGGACAAACCTGCATCAGTTGACCTGAGCATACCTGACCTAGCTGATCCTGCGCCAGGTGATTTGGCCAAACTTGCATTGGTTAACCCGAGCGTACCTGATCCATCTGAACTTGGACTGGTTGATCCAGCCGCACCTGTACTGGTTGATCCAGCCGCACCTGTACCGGTTGATCCAGCCGCACCTGCACTAGTTGACTCAGCCAAATTTGCGCCGGTTGATTTGACCAAACCTGCACCAGTTGATTTGGCCCAACCTACATTGGCTGACTTCTCCATACCTGTGCCATTTGACCTGGCCAAATTTGCCCCAGTTGATTTGGGAAAACCTGCACCGGTTTACCTGAGCATAGCTGACCCAACTGTACCTGCACGGGTTGATTCGAGCCTATCTGACCCTGCTGAACCTGCCCTAGTTGGCGTGGACGAACCTGCACCAGTTGGCTTGGTGGAACCTGCACCAGTTGGCTTGATGGAACCTGCACCAGTTGGCTTGGTGGAACCTGCACCAGTTGGCTTGGTGGAACCTGCACCAGTTGGCCTGGTGGAACCTGCACCAGTTGGCCTGGTGGAACCTGCACCAGTTGGCCTGGTGGAACCTGCACCAGTGGGCCTGGTCGAACCTGCACCAGTGGACCTGGTCGAACCTGCACCAGTGGACCTGGTCGAACCTGCACCAGTGGACTTGGTCGAACCTGCACCAGTGGACCTGGTCGAACCTGCACCAGTGGACCTGAGCTTACATGACCCAACTGAACCTGCACCGGTTGACCTGGTCGAACCTGCACCAATTGATTTGGCAAAACCTGATTCAGTCAAACCTGCAGCGGTTGCCTCGGCCGAACCTCCACAGGTTGCCCTGGCTGAAATTGCACCGGTTGATCCTGCTGAACTTGCACCAGTTGAAACAACTGAACACACAACTGTTAAGTCCGCCAAAGCTGAATATCCAGGGTCAGTCAAATATATATCCATCAAGAGTGCCAAACAAGTTGAGCTTGTCAATTTTACACATGAGCATGTGAAACATGCATCTATTAAGACTGTCAAAGTTGCACCTACTGAACTGACAAAATCTCTACCTACAAAGCATTCCCAGTTACCTCAATGTGAACTTGACCAATCTCAGTTTGATGAGTTGGCTGGTCCTCCACTGGTCAAACTTATCAAATCAGCTCCTGCTGATTCTGCTGTGTTCTCTCCTAGGGAACTTGCAGGATCTTCACCTTGCAACCATGAGACCCCACTAATGAATCTTATAAAAAATGCACACAATGATCTAGTGAACTCTTCAAAGTCAGTCCCAGAACCACAAGACCACTTGGCTTTTCAACAACCAGGCTTTGTAGAATGTTCAAAAGCTAAGAATTTAATGAAATCTAGCACTCCTGTAAAAGATCAGGCCACTTCCTCGACAACCACAGAAAGAGCTGATAAAAAATCACTTACTTCCACTCCACAACAAAGAAATATGAGGTAAGGTCCATTTATTTGTTATATATTTGTATATTTATTTTTGTTATAATGGACAGACAATTTCTTATGTCTGTCATCATTGATAAAGCATTTCATTTTGTGCTAACTAAAAAGTCAAAATCTAACAAAATAATAAATATGATATATAAATTATGGCAGCAGAACAGTAATGCTCTATAGCCCTTTTGCAGTTTTTCTGTATAAGCCACAAGTCTAAAACTGATAGATTCTGCGAAGGCAAGCGTGTCCAACTTGCAAGGCCTCAATGGCCACAAGTAAAACCTTTAATATGTTAGTGGGCCGTATTTACATTACTCAGGGGATCCAGACATGTCACCGTTTGTCGATCTCGGCAGTTAGCCCCAGCTGCTATGAAACGCGGGGAGAAGCAAGAAACCATGTGTGATATCAGGCCATTCTATGCATAATGCAGTGAAACACATTGGGTCCATTTTGAATTACTAAATTTACTACAAGTAATCATTTAAAGTGAACTTCTATTTTAAAGGGGGCGTTTACCTCGACAGGGCTCATGCGCAACGTCAACGCCCAATATGGATGCAAAGGACTTTCACTTTTCACTGAAGACCTTTCATGGGCCACGATAAATGGCACCGTGGGCTTACAGTTGGACACCGCTGTGCCAAGGCACGCTTCTGCATACAAAAGTGCATTCTTACTTTGGTTTCATTCTGTTGTGTGTTAGTCCAGGTGGTGATCTTATATTCGGTCAGTGGCGATGTTTGATATCTTTTAAAAGCATTTTTCAACTGGCAACAATGCGTTTTAATTTCCTGCTACGTCTTACCAGTAAAGAGAAAGTTGTGTCATGCTCCAAGAAAAAATGGCGAATTTGAAGCAAAAAATCTCTTATTGCTGGGCCCTAGTGACGAAAAAGTTGTTAAATACAATTGCTAACTTCAGAAGAAAAAAATACTCTAACACGTGATGTAGCCAGAATTCATGTTTTATGGGTCCTTCTTAATGAAAAATTGAAACTGTGAAACGTTTGTGAACAACGCTTGTGACCGTTCTGCCGATTTTCCCTATAATGGTATTCCCTAGTCAGATGGCTGATGTTGCGGCTCCTTGAATTTGAAACAGAAATTTTAATTTTGGGTGTGTATTTTACATAAAATCTCTGGGACATTTTCAAGCACGCACACACGCACACACTTACTCGCACTCACACTTGAAAATTGGGAGGCGTTGGTTTTATTCTGAGCATTATCACTAAGATTGCAGTGCCACATCACGAAAATACACTTCGAAAATACAATCTTCTGGTCGGATCCGCAAACATGATCAGTTCCCCATCAGGTGACCGAGACGCATCGAATGACACTTAGTACGACTCGATTCGTGCCAGTGAACTGTCTAGTGGCAAGTGTCGGAACCGCACGTACGCACACTTGCAATTTTACTCAAATACTGTATAGGGTGTTTACTACCTACACTGCCTTAGGGAACAGTTCAGCGATGGTTAAGCTCATTGTTGAATGGCACCTAGATAAGATAATGAAATATGAAACTCTTTTGAATTATTTTCTTTGTTGAACATTGACATGGAACATGAGGATTTGTTTTATGCATATTTTTTATTTAACATCAAAAACAAAGACTGAGTATGACACAGTCTAGGAAGAAGTGTATTCTGTGAATATTTTCTTAAATTCTGGTATCCCTGCCCTAACCCATTCGCATTTACTTCTGAATCCAGGTGGAAATGAAACGTTTGTTCTTAGATTATTGATGAGAATTTGGGGAAATTTTCTTATGTGTGAAAACATATGGAGCATTTAGCATTTTATGGTCAGGCAAGGAGTATTGTGTAACTCTTTCTTAAAATATCTTTTAAGCATAACACTTTTAACTTGAAATTTTAAAAATGTTTATTCATAATGGTAGAACTCCTTTGAATGTGATCAAATCAATATGTAGTATTGCTTTTGATAAATTGAGTGTAATAATTATACCCAATTTATTAATATTTAATTATTAAATAAATGTTGGCTATGGGAGCAGAGCCCTCGTGGATTCAGCCCTGCCTCACAAGAGATAGATTACTTAGACGCACATACATGTGAAGAAGTAACAGTATTGTATTACCGTTGCGGGTCTTTCTGGTTCTTTATGCCCGCGCGACGTTTGGAATATTTTATGCCCTCTTTCGTCCAACCCATGTTAAACAGCAACCTGGATTCTTCGAAGGAGCGTTTTGCCTTGCCTTCGTTCAATTTTTTGGGTTTCCAAGGTGGTCTTCCTTTATATCGCATTTTGACATGTGGCCCCGCCGTTAATGGAGCCGAATATCCTATGTACCGATGGTCACTCAGGGTTACTTCGTCGAACACTGACCAATCTGCGATACCTACAGCTAGCATGGAGCTTATTGTCAAATCCAAAATAGACGATGCGTCTCCACGTTGAAAGGTGTACTCGTCCCCAGTATTTAGGATGATCAGATCATGTCTTGCAATGAATTCACATATGATAGTTCCTCTTCTATTGGAGCTCGTCTCTCCCCATTAGGTCAACTTGCCATTGAAATAGCCTGCCACTAATACACTTTTAGACGTTTTCAAACTAGCCTCCAGCTCATCGATATCTTTCTGAAAATTTTCTAGAATAGCGTTCGGGGAAAAATAGCAGCTGTAAATTCCCATATTACCCTCTTCCAGTTGTACAAACCCGCATTTCGTTCTCTTGTGTTTCTTCATGCTCAGCGTCTTATGCCAGCTCTTGCAGTAGCATCGTGATACCACTTGTCGCTGTGAGGTTGCTCGCTGACGAGCAGCACGTCCACCTCCCTTTCAGCAGCGACCTGCAGCATGAAATCCCACGCCTGTTTACACCTACCCAAATTAACTTGCAGGAATCCGAGCATATTTTTTCTTTTAGGCTTTATTGAACGCAATGATGAAAGTACGAGTACTTCCTAACAGATTATTATCGTCTTTGTTTCCCTCTTTACATATAACACACTGCAGTTTACCAGTACAATCCGTGATACCATGTCCGTTTTTGCCACATTTGTAACATTCTGTACTTCGACCGGAAGCTCTGCAACCAGTTGACATATGTCCCAAGTCTAAGCATCTATAACATCTTGATATCTGCTGTTTTTATCTGATTTCACTGTTAACCCAGCCGTTATGAACTTTTTGGTTACCTTTTCATCTAGTAGCATTGTGGCTGTTTACATTGCTCCATACTCCTACAAGAGTCGGAGATCCGGTCTGTCGTTACGCCTATTGTCATGCTCACCGCTTCTAGTACCTCTTCCATCGTGAGAGTTTCATCAATATCCTTAATTTCTACTTGGCGTTTGCACATGAGAGCACTCACTTTGGCTTGTTCCCCCGCCGCCTCCAGAGCCTCGTTAAACGCGGCAATATTGCCAGTTTTTTCTAGTACAATGACCACATATGCCGTTCGCGTGCTCTTTACAGCCTGTATATTTATGCCGTAATCATTAGGATCCACGGCATTCTTCATCCTTTTGACTGCGTATGTTTCTCCTTACCTAGCTGTCTCCTTGATAGCTGGGTTGAATTTCTTACTTGTCTTACACTTCTTTCGTTTGGCTATTTTTCCTTTTACTTTGCTGTTCTTCTCAGCGCTCCTCTTCTTGGTTTCCTTGCATCCCAAGCTGTTCTGTCCCCTCTCTATCTTTCCTGTCCCTTCTCTTAGACTCCTCTGGTGGGCTAGATGTCGCCCTCTTTCTCCTTTGTGCCATAGCATTCAATTTCTCTTCTCTTGCCTTGACTTTCTTTTTCGTGTTTGACAGAGACCTCCGGAAACTCTTCTCTTCTGCTACTTCATGCGCCGTATTCTTTAGATCACCGTCCCTCTTCTTCCATTGCCTTGTATTCTCGGCATGTACGTCACCCTTCCTCAGGACAAGCAATTTATCATGCATCCACTCTTGCCCTTCATTGATGTCCTGCTACCTGTTCTTTGGTGTTTCCACATCCTGTGCTGTGGCCAAAGTTTTCCTTACTATTACAGGATTATTTCTTAACATTTTTTCCCATTACAGTTAGCTGGGTATGCTAACGTTCAGTGGTGCCTTTATTTTCCTTCATCAGCTCTTGGATAGCTTCCCATCTTTTTGGCATCAAGTCCACATCATTCCTTTTCCCTGCAGGCGTGGACTCTACTTGAACCGAAGATTCTCCAGGTGTTGCGGGGGTGTCCGAAGGAAATCTCTGCCTTTCACACCTTCCAGCCAAGGGGTTAGATGCACTTGAACCATTATCTGTCAGAGACGCCAAATGGTCCACGTCTGTCATTGCAGTCGCGGGATGACGACCGCCGGAGGCCTGCTTGCCCATCCCCGACTGCCGGTACTGGGGCTCGGATCCCCTGCACCGTAACGGTTGATCCTGGGGGACCGTCCATTGCGGTTTTCTTTTCGGGGTTACCTTCCCCATGTGTTTGTTTTAACGGCACTGCCAGCGTTATCCCAGTAGTGGGACTGCCACTACTGTAGCGTTAAAACAAACACTAGGGGAAGGAAGGCTGCCACTTTACTGCGCCTGGGCCTGCAGGATTTCTTTAGGGTTGGCTTCGCCTGCCTAAAGTGCCCCTCCTTCTCTTAAGAGGAAGTTTAAGGTGTCTGATCATTCGCCTCCTCAGCCGGTGGAACTCTTGCATCTTGTTTCGCCCTCAGAGGCGTTGACCTTCTTACGTTGGCAGCTGCCACTCTAGGAGATAGGCGCCGCTTCCCCTTCTGGGGTACTTTTTTGTCTCTCTTTCGACCGGCTAGGGAGGCCCTACCAGTAGCTACGCTACCGCCTGCATAGCTCTTAGGATCATTGAGACACTCAAGCTCCACCACCAACTACAAGGTCCTGTACTCCCTACGTAGTTTTACTCCCAACGTATATTTCATACGTGCATTTTCAGTTTTTATATTTTATTCTTTAAACTCCGTATATTCATTTAAGGTAATATACAGGCAAGAGTACAATCTGATGTGGCCCAAATCGACGCTAACATAATTATTTTAACATGTCACGTGTAAATATCACAATAATTGACACGCTTCTTCAAAAAGAGGCACAAGTCCGCATATCAATGACGTTCATGTGAAGATTCCATCATAAGCTCGTTCGAACATCTGAAAACTATTGTAACGTTCCTCGTGGTGAATTGAAACCAACTCAATATTTAAACAAAGAAGGTTTATTCGTGGACAATCATACACTAAAATCTACTTGGTCTATGTACAGATATATTACACTTAATTATTTTTCTTTACACACGATTCCGTTCTCTTGATGATTTATTTACACAGTTCACTCCTTACACACTATTTATTTACACAGTTCTTTTCTTCTGTATCAGCCAGTCCGATGCTCTGTCCACGGTCCACTGCACTTGACCCAATTCCCTGCACAGACCACAATTCCCCTGCGCAGACCACAATTCCTTGCGCAGACCACACTTCACTGCGCACACCAGGGTCTACTGCACTGCTGTTTACCGCGATGCTCACTTCACAGCTCAGCTTCCACTGCAGACTTCAAACTGCTGACTGCTGTTTCCCCACTGCACCACTGCTTACCGCGATGCACCCTTCACAGCTCAGCTTCCACTGCAGACTTCAGACTGCTGACTGCTGTTCAACCGCTGCACCACTCTTCACCGCAATGCACATTTCACAGCACAGCTTCCACTTCGGACACACTGACGGACTGACTGCTTCTCTGCCACTCACTGACGTCTACCCACTGACTTCTACTCACGTCTTCTACTAACTTCTACTAACTGACTCGCGGCCGCCGGCAGCGGCGCATTTATACCTGCCCGGCGCTTGTCTCCAGGCACCCGGCATATTCTCGGCGTTTCTCGCGGCTCGCGGATAGTCCGGAACCGTCTAGTTCGGGGGGGAGGGAAGGGGCGCCGGCAGATGACGCAATCCACGCGCAGCGAATTCGGCAGGTGACGCAATATTCGTAACACTATGTACCGTCGCCATGTCCTGGGTTAGTATGTTCCAGGAGTCAACTCCGTTACCTATGAAGTTCTTGGGCTGCATTAGATTGTGTCTAGATTTTAGAAGCTTCATACTACATACTATACTGTATAAACTCGTAATTGTAGATTTTCAGAGCTGTGAAAAATGCGACTAAGTTCAGAATTGTAATGCCGGTGCAAGATCTTGAATATTTCAAACACGTCGCCGCATTGTCTCCTAATAGCAAGAGTAAGAAGCCCGAGTCTCATTAGTCGTTGATTCCGTTGCCCAAATTCAACGGGAGAATGTACTATATAGTGAGGTGAATACATAGCTTCTTATTATGTTAAAGGCATTATGGAGTGCAAATATATCATTTTCTGCGATGTAACGCACGTGGTTTTCTTTCTTTGAGGTCGTTTGAGATCATAATCCCTAGATCCTTCATGACTTTGATTTCAAACAAGTTCCTTCTGCCTATTTGGTAATTTCGATTTGGGTTGCATCTTCCAATATGCATGACTTTCATTTGTTTTATTCAATCCAAACTATCGACCACTCATAAACACTATTCAAGTCCTTTTGAAAGTGGAGATTATTGACCAGACGGTTAGTGTAGAATTTGGTTTCGCTAGTATACAGGGTGCATAAGATCAGTCCCAATACCGAGCGCAGGAAATTCCACTGTTGATCCTCTTCAGTAATGACTTTTCTCCAATTCTCGCGCAAAATCGGCAATCCTAAAGGAAATACTGTATCCAATGCAAGGTGCATTGCATTAAATAAATAATGCAAATACTGTATCTAATGCATCCCCCTTATGCCAAAGTGAAGAAGTTTGTGAAGCAACCTCCGGTGCGGTACCTTGTCGAAAGCCAAAGTCCAAGAAAATATCTGTAGGGTTGCCATTATTTAGACCCATTGTCCAGTCTTACAGTGAAGATGGTAGGTTTGTAATTATAGATCTCCCTGATACGATGCAGTGTTGGTGCAACGGTATGGGTCCAGTTCTCAGAGTAAAGCCTAGTATATTGTCCTCCAGAATCCGCTCGAAGACCTTACATATCGAGTTAGTCAAGCTAAGGGGCCTGTAAGCGGTATCTAGCTTACTACTTTTCTTGAAAACTGGTGCAATATTAGCTATTTTCCAGTTCGTCGGTTATGCTCCGGAGTCAAGGGAGTCTCGGAAGATTTTACATGGAGCTGGTGCAAGTTCTTGTGCTCATTCTTTCAGTTGAAGGGACACCAATGGACCAGCAGAAGAGTTAGGATCTAGCGATTTGAGGACGTTGGGAACATCTGCAACATGCAAGTCAAGGTCTTCCAATGTTTCCTCAGAATGGAGTGTCCTCAGCGACAACATAATTTCAGCTATTTTTGAGAATTTTTAAAAAGTTGAGGCTTCATATATTCTACTCTCAAAAAGAAAAATATCCATACCAAACATAGGGGGGCGTCGAACACGTTTTAATCGATCGAGGAATATCACTTTCGGAGAAAATCTACTGAATGGTTTTGTCAGTCGGACGGACGAACGAAGAGAGTCGGTTGGACGGACGGACGGACGAACGCAGAGAGACGGTTGGACGGACGGGCGAACGCAGAGAGACGGTTGGACGGACGGGCGAACGCAGAGAGACGGTTGGACGGACGGGCGAACGAAAAACACAAAAAAATGGTACCACTGAGAGCAAAAGCTGTAAGTGAGAGAAATAGGCTAGTGCAAAGCACCTTGTTATTGTCACTTATATTGTTACCTGTTGTTTGTGGAACTGTTGCAACTGGGTCTACTATTATCTGTAAAAAAGCCATGACGTCTTGGTTTAGACTTGTGAAGTGCTCGGCAAAATGTATTCTCTTCAACAAACCATCCACAAAGAATTTCATGATGATTGTTGCTTTTATCCACTTGTGACTTTTATTCATGGAGCAGTCTAGATTAAGTTTGCAAATAATCCAGAGACAGTAGAAGACTTAAAGAGCAATATTTGGAATGAAAATTTGAGAATTCAAAGAATTGCACAAAGATATGATCATAAGGCAAGTCGTAAACAGTGCATTCAAGCAAGGTCATTTTCAGGGCCTGTTGTAAAAACAATACTATGAATACTGTACAATGTAGAAGTCGAATAAGAAAATACCACTTCATTGCCTTGTTTCTTGCTGTTATTGTTTGCTTATGGCAAGCTGAATTTTTGTGCCATACCCTAAATAATGCACAGAACTTATGTATTAGTTATATTGTCCTCCCTTTTGTTACAGTTATTAAGTATATAAGAATAATTTAATGATGTGCAGCCTTACTAATCTATAACATTTTTGATGATTTTTGTCTAGTGTGGAACCTGATCCTTGCCCAAGCTATGTTCGCAGTCCAGGAAGAAAGATCATGGACCAGTTGCAACTTTCAGTTGTTTTGTTGCACGGAGCTCCAAAAGACTTTAGGTATTTGAACCTTGTCACTGATGCCATTCTTCGGAGAGATGTCCATGAGGTATGTGAAAGAAAATGAAAGTACTCTTCTTTTAAATGTCTTAGAAAGATAAGATTTGCAAGTGTGTAGTTGGTGTCAATGTTCAAAAGGTTATATTCGGATAATATTGCTTCACTCAAGTTTTAAAGTTTTTTTTTTTTAATTTCTTTTCTTCTTCCTCCTAGTCCTTCCTTTCCCCCTTCTTTCTCCTTTTCTTGTGTGTTCTCCTTTTCCTCTATTTTGTGTTGTCTTTGTCTTTTAATATTCTTTCTATGATGATAGGTCTTGAAGACTATGCTGTACCGTTTAATGCGAATCCAGAAGTATGCTTGGCCACTTATTCAGCAAGGTCACAGCTGTGTTCTTGTAGGACCTCCTATGTCAGGCAAAACATTGGGATATGCTGTCCCTCTCTTGGATCAAGTGATGCAGAAAGTGCAAGCCAATGAGGTAATGATAATTATTGATTTTTCAAAAGATATTGAATTAATATTCATTTTTTTGAAGAGAGGCTCCAGTGAAGCTACCAGCTGAGACACATTAGTGACATCAGTAGTTGTCACTGCAATGTGTGGTCTGGAGGTCCTAAATTTGACTCTTTATGACAGGAAAAAGTGTCTCAGGGCATCAACTTATGTCACTGCTGTGCCTCTGACCAGATGGTCCTAGGCTCGAATCTCAATGCAGGATTTTCAACTCTAGCCAGATAGCTGGGATGAGTTCAATCTCTGTCTGGAGAAGAATTCTAGTGGCTGGCTGCTCTTTTTGGTAGTTTTCTGTGATTTCTCCAATGAATACCAGGCCAATACCTTTTTATGTCTGAGGTATGGGAAGTAACAAACAAAAAAAAAAAAAACAAAAAAAAATCAAGCAATGGAAATGGACTTCTGGTGCTGAAGTTGCGAACTAACTTTAATGCATAAAGTTTAGAACGAAGAAATTAAACATAAAGTGGAAGTAAGTTTTAACGTAATTGATATCATAGAAGTGAAAAGACTAAAATGGTATCGGAACATGGAAAGAATGAATGAAGAAATTCGCTGAAAATATTTTTGAAATGGCAACCAGCTACACGTTGAAGAGGAGGAAGACCTAGACTTACGTGGGGAGAAGGAGTGGATGAGGCAATGGTGAAAAGAGGATTGTGTAATGAAGACTACACTGATAGAGAGATGTGGAGGCTGGTATGCGAGACACTCTCTAGGGTGTAGTATAACTTGCTATTTACTACTACTAAAAATTATCTAGAAAACTTGAAATATATTTTACAACTTGCAAAAACTACAGTATCTGGCAATTTGAACATTTCCTATGGGAACTCGCTTTTTTCCTTTCTCATTCATGTTGCTAGTGGTGATACTAAAAATGTGATATTGATATCAGTGAAATTAACATAGTATTTTTATTTAGCTTGCTAAAATAATAATTACAACTGTATACCATATTATATAACTGGAGTTTTAATGCTTTGAACTTTTCCTTTGACATTCTTTTAGTTTTGCAAATTGTTCGTTATTTTATATTTGTTTTTCTGTTTCCTTCATATTTCAGATACCAAAGGGCAACGGACCTGTGATGTTGGTGCTTTGTTCTGGTTCTAAATGTTGTAATGAGATATTTGAAATATGTTATCAGTTTGTGAGGAAATGTGTTAAAGAAATTAAAATGTTAGTAGCTTATGGAGGAGGAGCAGAAAAAATTGAAGTAAGTATTATTTTTTGCATAAAACTATTTGTGTTGCTTTGTAAAAATTGTCTTTATCTTGTGCTTCCTTTAATTTATATTTAATTAATTTTTCTGTTATATTCAAGATTTTTCATGCTTTTTGCACTTTGCATTGTACAAATATTTAGTTGGAATTAACTATCTCCTGTATATAATTCTTTTGTAGTTTAGTCTCATCAATGGATGTCACATTTTAATAACAACACCCCGTTGCTTCAAGAGGCTACTTCAGCTTGGGAGTGTTGTGGTAAATTTTGCTCGCTTGAGATACTTAGTTTTGGATCAAGCAGACGTATTAACACTGAGATTTTTACCAGAGGTAAGATAATATAATTTACCAGAGATAAGGTTCTAACATTTGCCAGAGGTAAGGTAATATCATTTGCCAGATGTAAGGTAATATCATTTACCAGAAGTAAGGTAATATCATTTACCAGAGGTAAGGTAATGAGCATTAGAAACACACGGTGAGTGATGCTGCTTTTGCACAGTCACCATCACCAATTTGTGAAACTAGTGGTATTCTGTTAGCCATCCAAACCTGGTAATTTGTGGTGTGAATTCAAAGAAGGCATGTGTGATAATGTTCTTTTTCAAATGCGTTTCCTGGAAGACAACCAAGGCTTGGTTGCGTAGGCTTCCGCGCCCGGTGTTTGGGTTGCCTAGGCTCTGAAGAAGGCCACAATACGCTGGCCGAAACGTTAGCCACCATGTCAATGACGCGACTCGTCCTGGATAGCCTAGACAACCAAGGCTTACCAGTCTCAGAGGATGTATTCAATACTGGATTGATCATTCTTGAAGACATTATGCACCTTTCAGTGATAAGCATCTTTGCAATTTTGGTATTCTTGAGTGGGCAGTAGACAAAGTAATGACAACACAAGAGATGCATTTAGTATTTGTGATGTACATTAGTACCTAAAAGAAAATTTTCCAAAAATTAGTTCCTGATCAAAGATGTCAAAGTCTTCAATGCAGTTATTGGCAGTGTTCAAAATGACAAAAATTGAAAATGACTTCTCCATTGATGCTTCTGGAAGCACCAGTAAAAGTTTTGTAATCAATTTACTTATTGATAAATGTAGATCAGAGCAAAACTGTTGTTGATGTTGTCTCTTCTGGAGTAGCAACATTATTAAAATCTGGGAAAACAGCACATTCGACATTCAAGTTCCCTTTAAACATAATGTTTCAAGAACAAGTAACATGTAACATTAGTAAGAATAGATCTATTGCAAAGATTTTTAACGATTCCACATTGATTATGTGGGATGAGTGCCTCATGAGCAACAGAGGTACATAGAAGCAGTTCACAAAATGTTACAGGATTTGATTGTTTTCGAAATTAATATGAGGAGTTACTGTTGTATTTCCTGGTGACTTCCAGCAAATCTTGCCTGTAATTGCTAAAGGCATTAGAGCTGATATAATCAAAGCAAGCTTAGACATCCCCTATTTGGATGACTGTTAAAACTAATGACTCAAATATGATGACAATGTTCACTGATGATTCAGATTCTTTGCAGTTGGCATCATTGCTTCTCACAGTTGGTAAAAGTTCACTTACCACTAAAATTGGTCAAAATATATTAGTGGATCATTGGTATAGTCATACGGTTCCCACTATTGATGTCTTAATACAGAGGATATATGAGCATGTGCAAACAATAATATATAAGACTGCTTCACATTTCTGTGAAGGAGTTTAACTGTCACCAAAAACAATGTTGTTGATGAAATTAATCTTCAGTTCCTATGTTTTCCAGCAGAAATGTGAGAATATAAATCAATTGACACTGTTCTGAATGATGAAGAGTGTGTTCATTATTTAGCAGAATTTTTAAAGTCACTCAACCCAGCAGGTCTGGTAACACATATATTATACTTTAAAATTGGTTCACCCATCATATTGCTTTGTAATGGGTTACGACTTAAAATAATGAAGTTTACCAACAATATTTTACTCACTAGAATTGTTAATGGTCCTGTATCTAGTGAAAATGCCCTAATACCAAAGATCCCAATGATTTCTTTGGAAATAACCTTCTCAATTTAATAGACTACAGTTTCTTATTAAACCATGCTTCGTTATTACAAGCACAAGGACAATCCCTCAAGTTTGTTGGTAGTGATTTTAGAGAAGCTTCTTCTCTCATGGTCAGTTGTACATAGCACTCTCCCGTGTTGGGTCAAAAGATAACCTATTCTTGCTTCTTTTAAAAAAAAATGAAATTGTGAATGTGGCGTACCCTGAAGCTTTCGTTTAATTTAATTCTTCATTATCTCCTTCACTGATTCTGTATATTTGTTGCAATTGCATTTTTTTCACATTCCAGTTGTCTTTGCACTTAATTTTGAGTTAACCATGTTGATCTTTTTTATTGTGAATATAGAAATATAGAAATATATGAATATAGAAAAAATAATATAATTATGTTTTGACATTACATCTATACTCCATATCTATCTTCGGGACGGAGATGGGCAGTGCATGGCAGAGCAGAGAAGGGATACAATGGAATAGATAGAAGTAGGCCTTGCCGCAGGGTAGATGGCAGTCCTCTTACTGTCTAATAATTTACTGTAATCAATGTCCAGGCAATGCCGGGTATTTCAACTAGTAAAAATATAAGAAAACAATTTATTTATTTATTTATTAACAGACTGTGAAATACAAATAATATAATACAAGTATGTACATTATTATTCCGCTGAGGAATTAATCCAGTGCGCGGGCCTGTTATCAATCATTTTTTTTCCCCCAGAGCAACAGTTTTTTTCAAGAGCTCATTTATAAAAGAAAAGAATACAAAAAAAATAATCGGAAAATATAATTAATAAACAAAGAAAAGAAGAACGAAGCATATATTACAAAAGAAAAAGAAAATTCGAAGTACAGAAAGTAAAAAAAGTAGTTATCACAATATAGTTTAATTTCATAATTCTCATTGAAAAACTGAAGAAACTGTCTCATTGCTAAGCTCAATTATAAAGTTTCTAAGCCATTTCTTTGAATTTTTACGCAGTTTATCGTAGCTGGTATTTTTGAGTTCACTACTCAGTAAATTAAAAATCCTATAACTAATATAATTATCGTTACGTCGACTGATTTCTTCTCAATTTTTGGCGGTACTAAGTCTCTTGTTTCTCTTATTATTTTTACATAGTGATATATATTTCTGTTTAAAATAGTCAAAATTATCGAAAATTTAAGAAATTCAAAAGAGATTTTTCTAAGAAAAATTTCCTTATAGAGACAAGACTATACGTTTTAAAAAGTAATTCAGAGGAATATAGTTTGGTTTTTCTATAAACGATTTTAAGTATTCTCTTTTGAACATCTTGTAGCATTTTAATTGTGTTATAATACGCACCACCCCATGTTATAATTCCATAAGTCGCAATATTCCAAAATAACGCATAATACATTATTAACAATTGTTTTTCGCTAAAAATACTCCGCAATTTATAAAACACATAAATTAAATAACGGACTTTATTTGTGACTTGTGTGATATGTTGTTTCCACTTCAAATTTGAGTCAACACATATTCCAAGATATTTGGTTGAATTCACTCGTATCAGAAATGAACAATCACACATATTACTATTAATATCACATGAACTAGTATGTAACTGTAGCTCAATATTTGAAGGTATGCTGTCAGCATAACTACCATAGGTTATGAAAACAGTTTTTTTTGTTTATTTAAGGTTAGGAAATTTACACTCAACCATTTCGCAATTAGACTCAGTTTAGCTTGTGCTAAATCCTTTGCTTTAGACCAAGTTTTAGCTTTAACAATTAGCGTAGTGTCATCAGCGAAAGACACAATTTCACCCTTTGGTAGAATAACAAAAAAATCATTAATATATAATATGAAAAATATAAAACCGAGAATGGTTCCTTGAGGAACTCCATAAGTTACATTTAACTCGTCACTGGTAATATTATTGATTTTTACTACCTACTTTCTCCCAGTAAGATAACTTTCAATTAATTTCTTGGCAATTCCTCTAAATCCATAGTTATACAACTTTTTCAACAGAATTTTGTGATTGACCGTATCAAAAGCCTTTGCTAAGTCCAGAAACACCGATAAACACGGAGTGTTTTTATCGATAGCAAGGCTGATTTGGTCAGTGACATATTTTAACGCATCTTCAGTACTCTTATTTCGTGGAATCCAAATTGGTATTTATTTTTAATATTATGCTTATTTACAAAATTTATTATTCTTATTTTAAGAACTTTCTCAAAAATTTTTGCAAAATTGGATACCAGTGATATGGGTCTATAATTCGTAGCTTTTTCTGGATTTCCAGATTTAAAAATGGGTACAATTTCCTCTTTTTTTTAAATGATCAGGAAAAATTCCGTCCATAATACTCTTATTGATAATATATACGAGCAGTTTGATTACATAAGGGGAAATTCTTTTTATAATTTGAATGGATATTTTATTGCTACCTGCCTTTTTGTCACTGTTCATACTTGTTATTTTTGTCAGAATTTCTTCTTCATTGGTCGGTGTAAGGAAAATCGAGTCTCGAATCGTAGGCTCGTTTGCCACATCATTGCTAATTTCTCCAAATCCTGCTGTCATTTTTGAACCAATTTCAGCAAAGAATTTGTTGAGATGATTAGCGATTTCGAGCTCGGTTTCGAGAACTCCATTTTCACCTTCAGTATAGATTTTATTTATCACTTGTTTCTCAATCTTATTTTTTCCCAATTTTTTATTAATGTATTTCCATAGATTATTGACGCTATTTGATAACTTACTAACTATTTCATTGTAATATGACTCTTTGGCTTTTTTAATTAAAGTGTTTAGCACATTTTTATATCTAATATATTTACTTTTAATGTCAATATTATCAGGATTCAGTTTCATTTTTTGATATAGTAGGTTTTTATTTTTACATGGTATGATTAAGCTCTTAGAGATCCCTTTCTGGGTTTATTTTTACCACGAATTCGTGTTTTAGTTGAAGAAAGGTCAATACTTTGTTCAATGATCTTTATAAATTTATCAAACGCAAGATTTAAATCTGTTTCATAATATACAAAATTCCAATTTATATTAGTCATTATTTTCATTAATTTGCTATTTTTATTTGGGTTTTGAGTATTGGATTTATATTTGGATCTCTAACAGTTGGTATAGTGTCTATAACAACCATTGTTGCAAGGTGGTCTGTCAAATCCAGATCACATACTAATGGTGTTATAGAAATACTTTCAGCGGTTTTAGCAAAAACATGGTCTATACATGTTAATGAGTTTAATGTGATCCTAGTAGGGATGTTTATCAAAGATCTGTAACCAAATTCCAAAAAAGTATTAAGATAATCATTAACCAATTCATTATCATTCAATATGTCAAGGTTCATGTCTCCCATTATAATGTGATTATCAACGTGGGACAGATTATGTAAATAAACATATAAATCACTTATAAAATCCGTTAGCATAACACTGTGGGATCTATAAAACGATGAAATATAAATTTTTCCGTTATTGGATTCCAGTTCAGTATATATTATTTTGATTTTTCCCATGCTTTTGCTAAAGTTCGTATGTCTAATAGTATTCCTCACATATATGCAAGTACCATCATTCCTATTTAAATTACTATTTACTTGAAAAAGCTTATAACCATCGATCTCAAACCAATTAACATAATTTATTTCAAATGTTTCTGTACATATAATAATACTGGGTTTCTCAACCATAGCATTAATACATAATTTCAAGTTATCGAGATTTCTATTAAAACTACAAACATATTGATTTGCATAATTTTTAAACCAAAGATATCACATAAGTAATCATTCAATTCATTTAAGTTTCTGCATTTATTTGTGTTATAGTCTGGTAAATTAGCTTCTAAATGTTCCATATAAAATTTAAAATTAAAATATATAAGGGCGAAACCATGTTTATCCCAGTCACACTAGCACATTGTTCTGGAAATAGACACATTTTTGTAGTATTTGTATGTTCCACATACATCTTCATCAAAAGCAAAATGGTTCGTGTCCAAATTTAATTTAAATTTCTCATTAGCCTTGATGCAATTACTACATTATTTCCCATTATCCCTTTTACAATCTCTAGCTTCGTGAGTTTACTTCTCTAGCGCAGTAGGGGCAAGCAAGGTCGTTCTGACATTTTTTAGCACTGTCGCCATATCCGTTACATTTAAAACACCGGTTCACATTGTAATCTTCAAAAACCCTACATCTTTGCCAACCTAAATACAGATATTTACATCTAATAACCTCCCAAAACAGGTCAGTGTCCAATTCTACCAAGATTGTTTGTGTATCTTTATGTTTGAATTTTTGCACATGAAGAACTTCAATCTCACCGTTTGTAAGATCAGGGAAATTCTGATCAATCAAAGCCGATTGTGCACTCTGGACATCGTAGTCCTCACTTACACCAACAATCTTGATTCGCGGTTTTCTCATCTTTTTCGATTTGATTTTACACTTATCTTCAAAAACATTTCGCAATTTTTCGATCATCTTGTCACTATCCGGTTTCGAGTCACATTTAATAATTACAGTTCCCCCTTTAACTTGTTTAACTGAGCTCACGGCGACTTTCATATTTGTCACGTTGATTTTCTCTTTCATTTTCTTGACCACTTTACCAACTTCATTTTTGTCAACAGGTTTTACAATGATCGGAGGAACCTTGTTGATCGCAAACTTCGTCTTGTTTGCCAAAACACTCGCATACGTTGTTTTAGTCTCCCAATTTTTATTTTTCTCAATTTCGTTGATCTTTTCATTGAGAAGACCATTTCTTTTCTCCATTTCTAGTATCAAAAGCATTAGCAATTCATTTTCCAGTTTTAAGTTTTTATCAATGTTGTTGGAATCTATATCGCAACATCTAATCAGGTTTGACTTCTCTTGAAAAACTGTCTTTCCGTCTTTCCAAACATGATTTATGGTACACTGTACCACAGTTCAAGCACACATACGTCGACAATACCTTAGATTTGCAGCATCCAAAAGTGTTCATCTTTCCTCATATTTCATACTACTTGGAACTATTTTAAAATTAGAAGCACAATTGAAATGTATTGTTACCAAAAACTTAAGCCAAAAAGATTATTGTCTGAAACCAGAATGTTATGTGAAATGGTTTGTTGCCCCGATAAAAAGTAAAATTATTTAATTGAGATTATTATTTGCTTTCTATGAGCAAATCTCTATTTTCTACATCACAAAAGGATGCAGAGTAGCCAATATATTAATTCACAGCTGTCACTGAATTACATCTTCTAGTAAGAAAGAATTTTCTAAAAAATCACACTAGACAATGAAAATTCCCTGTATAAATTTTTATTTTTGTTTCATGAAGAGAGGAAAAGATGGTAAACAATGAGTGAAGACCGCAGAAGAAACACAAGATCAACTTACTCTATCAGTTTCTTTATTGCTTGTATCAGGTGATATGTTAGGCCAAGTCCAGAAGTGCATATTATTCATCATTGTCACTGCCCAATATATTTTCTACATTAATAACTATGGATGATTCTCACTTTCTTGAAAAAACACACTGACTCATCGCAAGAAGGAATTTTGAAAACTAGTTTTTAAAATGATATAACTTATTTTTTTATGGCAAAGAGTCAATTTTCAACTTCTCAAGAATGCTGGTTGTAATAACTTAAACGTACACATCTGCAATTATAGATTTTTAATTTTAAGAAAATGAAAATAACAATAGTATTGATATTATTGTAAGTCTATCTGTGGTTACTAACTTCACAGAACAATGCATATGTTTCATGGATTTCTCTGTTTACTCAACTGACTCAGTATATCTGAGAAAGAAGGTTGCTCTGTTTCAGGCAGACTCTTAGCAGGGTCAGTTGTATATAAATTAAGTTAATAGTCTCATTTCATCAGACTATTTGTATTTGAGACCGTATGTGTATTTCTGTGATTCATAGCATAACACGTCTCATGGTTGCATAATGTTTGGACATCACAATGCGTCATGTTATTGACACCCCGAGTAGGGAGTCTGGTGGACAGGAAGCTGCCTACGTGTGCCGGTGAAAAAAATAATTTTTTTAATGTTATTTGCGTGTGTCCCACTTTGGAAGATCTATACAAAGTTATTGTATAAATACATGAATATTTTTTACAATTAATTTAAGTGTCGACTTAAAGTAAAAATTTGAATTTTAAAAATTAAAATATAAGTATTTTAAGCAAGTTATGTTTACAAAACTTGTATTAAATCCAATGAAAGTACATCTTTTTAGTGTTATTTTATTTTTTTGAATAAAACGGTATTTGCCCCAAAAACTTTTAAACATTAGCATGTGCATGATTCTTTGGAAAAAGTAAATGGTAATATTTCTGAAAGGGGTGAGATTAGAAAAAAAATGTAACAGGTCACCTATTTTTAACCCTAGCGCACATAAAAAAATGTTTGTGCATTAAAAAATAGTGTTTTCTGAGTGTGTGATTTGACATGGAATGACTCATGTGTAATAAGTTACTACAATTGGAAATAGGATTTATCCACTTTTTCTGTGTTGGTATGAGTTTTTCTGTTATTAAAATTGCTGTTTTTTGACGAAGCAATACATAACTTTCTCTGCCTTACGTATGTATATGAGAAAGTTAAAAAATAAAGAGAAAAAATGTCATGAAAGAAGCACTTCATATCAAGTTGTAAATTGCAGGAGGAGAATGCATTGTAAACATAGACTTTAGGACAGGGCCAATGAAAAATTACATAAAACGCTGGTAAACATAAAATAAAGGAACTTAAAATGAAGTTTTTCTCTATAATTGTTTTTCATCTCTTTTTTTTTTCTTTTCAATTTTAGTAGCTCAAAGATAACTATCCTTATGCAGGTTGACTTTATCTCCAAAAGAGTGGAACGAGACATGAAACCCCAGGAGAGAAAGCTACTGCAAGTGGTAGCTGTTGCAGAGAAATGGTGCCCAGGTCTTGAGTTCATAGTGAAAGGGTTGCCCAGTCCAGTGGTGTGCATCGGAGCCTTCTTGGAAGCCATTGTTTATGCACATCTAAAACCTCAGGTGCATTTTGTGACACAGTGCAATAGGATTTCGATAGTACAGGGTGAGTTGCAAAAGTTTTAATAATAATGAACATTAAATGTCTTACTTTCAATGTGGACCTAATTTGTGAAAAATCTGAAAAGATGATTTATTCATTTTTCATGAAGTCATTGCATATTTCAATTGATATTTTGAATAATATCAAGGTTGTAATTATGTTCATTGATGCACAGTTGACAAAAGACAGTTTTGCCCAAGATGCGGAAAGTGTTTTGGAAGACCTAATAATCAAATGTGATTTTTTTTAAAATGATAACTTAATTTGGAAAAAATGTAATATTATTAATAATAAATAAAATAGGAACATTTTTATTTATGAAATGCAATACATAAGATTATTGGTGTGTCACTTGTGTGGAACGCTATGTAATATACTGCCTTTGCAACGGAACAAGAATTGTTACCACTTAATTCATAAGTTATACCTAATTTTGTAATGAAACATCAGCATTTTTAAAAAGTATTTCTATTGATACTTTTTCATTATGCAGTCTACAACCAAAGATTGATTGGACAAACAACTATATTATGTTAAAAATGTCTTTTTATTATGAATTTGCATAGCTCAATCAAGAAATCGTAACCTACCAGAGGCATTGTGCTAAGCAGGTATGTGTATAGCAGGTGCAAGTTATTGCAGGGGCCTGAAGGGCCGAGGACTAGGGCCCTTGATAATTCTTTAAAAATTATTTAATTATAAATTTTTCAAAAATTTACATTAAAAAATATATAAAATGTAATGTATGATTAAACTATACGCACAAAATTCGCATAACAGAGTGATGTGTCGCACATTATTAGATCACATGTGGAATATAGAGGGATTTGGTTGATGTGAGAATGTCACTCACTGATGAGAAGTTAAGATTTTTTTAACAAACTTGTCTTCGGGGAAGGTGGATTGGTGAAAGTAAGAAAAGAGGCCCCCCCCAAAAAACTTAAAATGTCCCTGGTGTATAGAAATTCTCATTGTTACACTATAATTTGTACCATAATGGTCTGAAAAATATTTCTTTTTTTGTTTCATGGATGTTCTTCAGAGGTGATTAAAGGGGCAGCGAAAGATCACCGAACTTTGATCGTATGTAAAGAGGTGGAAGAAGTAGTGGCCTTGTATGAGGCTCTGCGAACAACTGTCGACCCCAAACATCTGATAATGGCTCATCATAATTTGGATTCTATTGACATCAACGGTCAGTGTAAATAAGTGGGATTGTGTTCTAGTACTAATTAGTAATTAAAGAAAGAGTTTTGTTGTTTCTGTAGTTTTACAGAATGTGTCCAGTATAAGCAAACTTTTTGCTAATTCTTACCATCTAGGATAGTGAAAATTTTTGTTGTTACTTCCCCAGTGCTTATATCCAACCTACTCCTACCATCAAATACCTATTTGTATGTTGGCTAGCCCTAAATAAATAAGATCATCTAATTTTATAATAGTACTTTGAAGTAACATCAGCTGTGAAAATGAGATGAAATCTATTGACTATTTAGACTACATGTTCACACAAGTAAGTTTCAGTTACTGAACTTTCTTAGTAGCTTCCTTTTCCTAGTTGTTTCTCTCCATTAAAATTCTCAGAGAAATTAGTAATCCTATATAGGAGAAAAAAAATTGTATTGATGTATGCTGCAGAATTATATGTCAAATGGAGCTGTATGATGCAACCAGTGCTAGTGTGCTCAGATGTAATCGTTCAAGAAATGAGTATCCAAGGTGCTACTCAGTTGATTCACTTCAGCCTGACGAGTGTGTCTAAAAGAGAGTTTGCGTACCGCTGCTCTACTCTGATTGATCGATTACCATCAATGTTTGAGTGTGAGGAAGACAAAGTAAGTAAAAGTGTAAAAGGATTTATTGATTTTAATAGATTATTATTAAAAATTCATTAATAAAAAGGGAAAGAGTAATAGTAAATCTAACTTTTCCGTAATGTACTAAGATACAGCCTGTGCAAAAGGAAGAAAATGTTTGTGTTGATTATTTTTAATTGGTTTCATTTACCAACAATAATTACAGGGCAGCAAGATGCAATCACAGATGCACATTTTTATTGCGGACAATGACAGTGAACCACTGCCAACACTGGTTCGCTTCTTGAAGAGGGTTGGTGTTACAGTAGACCCTGACCTGCAAAAAAGAGCCAATGTAAGTGAACTACATTTTTAGCAGTTTCCAATTGTTAGTCATGGCATATGCTAATATATTGTTTATTTAAGAGAGTTAAATTTTCCTTTATGGATTGAGGTGCTTGCTTGGTGTCATTTTAAGGAATGAACAATTATGAACAAAGTATTTATTTATTATTGTAGTTATGTGCTATAGAGAAATACTGATATTTCCTATTAATACCTCCTTTCTCCCCTAGTTGGTGAATGGAGTGTAGCGAAATTAGCTTTGTCAGACAGAAGAGCAGGCCTCAAGACCTGAGTCTCCCGTAAAACAATGCATTGATTCAATTCAATTCTATTCTATTCAAATTTTGCAATAAACATCATATCACTGTGTTCAGGAAAGTAAATAATTTAAGTAACTTAAATTTTTTAAATGTCACATTTTTCATATTGTTGTTGTCAGTCTTCCCTTAAATTAACAATATAATATTAATCACACGACTTTATATATCACAAGATGCCCCCGAAAAGATTAACAGAATAAGAAAGCGTATCACAAATAACAATTGAAAATAAAAAGTACTAAAAATAATAAAATAAAATATGTAAGCAAGTAAGCCAAGATTATAGAGTCAACACTAGGTCATGGCTGAAGTGCTATGTTCATCCATAAAGCAGATGAACAATGCTTTGAAAAGGAACTAGAGGAGGCTGGAAGTTTATTCCAAGAGTCCACTTCAGAAAATTTTTATATTGTGCCAATCTAAATTTTGCCTATATTTGTTTCATAGAATGGCCTCCCGGTTGGGATTTTTATCTTTGAAAGATTCCGTAGAGATTAGTGTTTCAATGTGTGTAAGATCTTATGCCTGGATCATGTCAGCTCGTTTTCTTCTAACACTCAGCAATGACAGTCTTAAGTTTTGATAGTTGCTGTTCATATGTGATTTTCCTGATATCAGCTGCAATATGTGTGGCTCTCTGTATTACTATAATAAAATTAAAAACTGGTGTAGCTGGAAAGCAGTCTCCAGTCATTGTCTTAAAGCATTCAATATTGCCAAAAGCACATGTCAAAGAAGTGTGACATTCTTCGAAATTTTGATCCTTTCTAATGTAGAGAATCATTAGAAAAAAACATAATTAGGCATCTATCTCAGAATACACATTGCCTTGCAACAAATGGCTTCCTCCACTCCCACCGTTTCAATCCTAACCCAGCTTGCTAATGTCGTTAAAGATATTTTCGCATTATTTATACAAATAAATAACATGCATAAATAAAAGTTCTGAAAGTTAAAATCCTTAACAATTGAAAACTGTCCCACCCACAGTCAAGAATTTGTAATAGTGTTTATATTCATTGATTCTGACAATATATTTGAATTTTTTTTTTCCTATGTATTTTTTGTCCATTGTTAATAGGATGAGATCTCATTCAAAGGAAATTTCACTTCCTCCTTGGATCAAACTAATTTGAAGATTGTTTATAATTTGTATTTCCTTATAAATTTCTCTAACTGCTCTTGTCTAATCTCTCTAATTAATAATTTTATTCACTTTTTGATATACCAGACACCACATGTTTCTCTTTTTGAAAAAATATTTTCAAAATGTTTTTTTCTTGGTGAAGTAGTTGAATCTGTGTTTTTTGGTTTTTAATTTATTTCTCTCTAATGTAACTCTTGAATTTTTCTTTAAAGATTGCAGAAGTTCAAAAGGACCTCAAGAAGGACTGGGTTCCTCTATGCACGAACACAAAAGCGTTTGGGGATTGCTGGAATAAATCAAACTGCCCCTTTCGGCATGTCATATCAAGTGCAGATAAGCCTCGAAATATTCCTACGTAAGAACAGTATAATTGGCCAATGTTATACAAAAAGAAACTAAACCACATTGAAAAATAGAGAACAATTGTTTTTCATTAATCAAATATAACAGTAGTTGTCAAAAAGGAGTTGGATCTTTTCTGCGAAGTGCAGAATCATGTCTGGAGATATCAAATAACCTATAATCTAAATTTTTATAATTTTCAGTGTTGGTTTCTTTCAGCCTAACACCATACGTGTGATTTCTTGTGAATTGTATGAATGTTTTGTGAATCACCTCTGTTTTTTATGAAAACTTATCTACAGATATTGTCCAGGTGTGTGTGTGCTTTTCATAGAAAATTCCATGTTTAGAAGTATGCCACATGACATCCAGTACATGAGTTTGTGTTAATTACAACTTTATCTGACCTTGCAGAATTTTGCTTGTAGATCTTCTGAGTTATTCTTTATTGTTTAGGTCTGGGAATGTAAAAGTGACAGTGCTTCATGTCCATGATGCTTGTAACTATTCTGCTCGTGTGTATGAACACACCAATGCAAATGGCCAAGTGGAGGTGGTACCCAATCTTGTAACAAGTATCACCAGGAAAATGCACTCCTATTTTAAGGATGATGCTCACAGGCAAGTGGATGTATACAATTTTCATTTAATATTTTGTGTGTAATTCCCATTATGAATTTTTGTCATTAATGCATTTTGTCCCTTCTGTCTTGTAAAAATGAAATGTATAAATGAAGTTGTACTGCATAAGGTGACTAACTATAGTCCAGTTGGCTCGTCCTGAAAGGAAGGTACGGGGCTTGAAAAAGGTCATAAACACCTTTTTCTTCTGGGGATGTTGCATGTTCCCAGGCACTAGTGGAAACCCCAACTTTTTATCTGCCGAATCTGTGCTAATTCTGGGAAGCCTGAAAACACTATTTTTCTAACTTGGGGTGGAGGAGGGGTCTCTATAACACTTTAACGTTAAGTAGCATAGAAAAATAATTCAAATCAATTTCAAAGAAGATAAAATTTCCTTCCAACTTTTATATCAAAACCAATTGCCAAGTGAACTACAGCTTTTCAAAGAAACTCTATTTTCTCATTTTGTTCTTTAACCTTCAAAATATGCGAAAATACACATGCTTATATTATTGTAAACAACTTATAACCGGATGGGCACTTTGTTGAATAGTTGGGGGAGGGGATTTTGAAAGCGGTTATTAAACTAAATATTATTCATTAAAAACATTAGTACAGTGTTATTTTTTGTTCAGTTTTTATTTGGTGAGAAAATATTGTTAATTTCTACTTTATCATGGGGAAATAGCAGCAGAAAAATTTGTAAGGAGTAGCTGTAATATTTTCTTCAAGTAGTGTGAAATTGCACAAATCTTATCTGAAAAGAAGAAAAAAATCATGGGAAAAGGAGGAAAAGTCATGGAAATTTGTTCCCGAAAAGTAGCAATCTGTATAATAAATATAATAATTATTATTACTTATAATACTATTATTTATCTCATGGTTTTCTTTCTTGCTTTCTTACTATTGAGTAACTATCGTTACTCGAAACACTACCCCACAGAAGTGCAATGTGTGTCAAACTCTATCAGACGCATAAAAAGTAAATGCTTGTTTCATGTAAAAAAAAACATATCAAATATCAAACTATCTGCAAACTCCCAAAGCCTCACATTCATACAGATCAATCGGGGAATATAAATTTTTGAAGAAAATTGGCTAAACAGTTTAGGCGCTAGCGTTGACTACAGACGGACTGACAGATACATACAGACATTTTTAATTTCAAAAAAACTGAAAGATGGCTGAAAATGTGACAATCACCATATTTTCTACTGTCCCTTATTACATATGAAGAGAAAATATTTTTAAAAACTGGGAACAATTTTTGAGAATTTGTTGTTGTTTAAATTTATTTTATTCTTTTTATTTTTTTAAATATGTCAATATTAGTACAAAAATTTCTCATGAACAATTGGAAATTTGAACGAACATGAGACCATTCTCATAAGTGTCCTTTACACTATCCAAAGACGAAGTTGGATCAAAAAATTTGGTGCCATTTTTGAGAAAAGTTTGAAAATGTTTCTGAGGCTTCATGTAAAGTACTCTCAAATCTCAAAATATCCATTTGTAATTTTACTATTGTCCGGTGCATGATTATATAACTTTCTCTTCTTACAAAGTACTTCAAAGGGGAGAAAGTAAAAAGAAGGAGAACGCTTATCTCATGTACTTCTGTTTTACAGAATCCTCAAGGAAAAACCAAAAGCTTACGACTTGTGTGCAGCTGAAAGAGTGAGAGGAGTTTATCATCGAGTAGAAGTTCTTGCCATATTTAAAACAGATAGACATGACAATCCCACAGAAATACTAGTGCGTTATATAGATGATGGTTGTCGTGAATTAATTAAGGTATGAATGCACTCTTTGTGGTAATGTTATTAATAATACTTAATGGATTTGTACTTACTCATTTATTAAAAGTATATGTAGAAGTATGCTTGTTTGCAAACAATTATGATTACAATTTAAGTGCTTGGTTGCTTTCATGATCCTGTAATGAAGTGAAGAAGTTTAAATGTAACTGTTGAAATGTAAAAGTACAAATATGTGCTGAACAATACAGTTCAGAAGTACAGAACTCTATTTAATGTATGGTCTTGGGTCCTCAATTTCATACTTTAAATGGGATTTATATTAATTGGGGGTGTAGGCAATAGGAATCAAATTTAACAAAAAAAGTAAGGAATGCTAAGGGAGCATTTGATAGAAACTGCCAAATATGGGTGAAGGACATTGTTGCCAGGTGGATATAAATGTTTTCCCGCAGATAGCAAAATCCGTTCAAACAATTTATCCACTTTCTCTTATCAGGGCCCAAAAATATAAGTTTTTTACTTTTTGTCGATAAATTATTCTTCTTTGCCAGAGCATTGCAAAAGGAGAGGAAGGGAGGGTGCACGTCTTTCACTTTCTCACATATGGGCCCTGTTACTGGCAAAACTACAAAATTGAAGATAAGAGGTTTTTGGCTGAGACAAAGTCTGTTGTACAAAGTTAGGTCTTTAAAAAAGGTCATGTATATTTTTTTTGTAAAAGTTTCTAGTTTGGGGGCAATTTGCACTTGATCTTTACGATTAAATATTGCAAGAAAGTATGTGCCTGGAATCACGTATCGTTAGTTTGTTTGTTTTTTCAAAATGTCTATCCTGTCTCTGTGAACAGCACTAGCGCCTAAACAATACGTAAAAGTTTTTCTAAACTGAATAAACCCCTGTTGATCTGGCCTCCATCAAAGCTCTGCAATTGTGGAAAATATTACTTTTGGGGGTGCACAATATGTAGCCCCTGAGTAATTTTCAAAATTTTGTCAAAAATGGCTCCAAATTTTTTCTTTATATTTCTTGTAAGAATTAAGTAAAATACACTTCTAAAGGTGACATAGGTCCAATTTTCAGGATTCACTATGAATTTTCCAAAATTTTAGAAGTTTGAATTTTTTCCAGTGTCTTCCTGCAACTACAAAATTGAATAAAGAGTAAAATTTGTTGTCCTTATTTAGTTCATTCATTAAGGTCATGTACATTTTTTTTGAAACCTTTAGTATTTTTGTGCAACATGTGCAATTTTAAAAAATAACAAAAACTAAATTTTCTAGAAAACAGCTCCAACATTTTTTTTTTTAAACTTGAGGTAGGGATAATGCTAAATGTACCCTGGTAGATGACAAAAAGGCCATATTGCTCTATTCTTGTTTTTTTCTTCAAAAATTACAAAAATGTAATTTTTTTGAGTAGCCTCTTACCTTGTTTATATTTACATTAGCGACAATTTGTTTACATTGTTGTGTTTATGAGTACATGTGCTTTAAATGATGTCCCCTAAAGTTTCTCTAAAACTCGGTAGTTTTCACTAAAAATAATATCAAAATTCCACATTTTCAGAAACTCTCAGACACCAAAATGGCTCAGAATTTTTTTTTCTAACTTTTCGTATGGGTTAAACGCACTAAGATGACATTATATTCAGTTTGCTGCATTCTTTTGTTTATTCAAAAATTACACAAATGTGATTTTTGTAAATATCTCTTAGGTTTTTACTATGCACGTTTCCAGTTATTAATACAAATTTTTACATTTGTGAGTGGAAGTGCTTCAAATTACTGCCAATAAAGATTTTAGAAAGTACAAAAGAGTTTTGTGGAAAGGAGCTTCAAATTTCCTATTTACAGCCACGCTTAAACACCATTATCTTAATCTGGCCTAAATGTCAGCATAGTATATCAGCAGTGTTGGGGTTTTCAACAATTAACTAAAATGTGACAAAACATTAGAGTTCATTGAGAAAGAGTTGTTCTACAAGTTCTCACTCTTTTTAAGAGTTTATTGCAGGATACTGTTCTGTTCAAATATGTCATCAAAGGAATGTTGTAAATTTCATAGCATTTCAAGATATACTTTTAATACTGTGGTGCTTTTTATTGTGCAATATGGTTTGAATGCCGAAGTAGTTTGTCACCTCTCTATTTTCAGCATTTCCATTATTTGTAGGATATTTGGTATCTTAGTTTGCTGCTGTTTTTAAGTTTTAAAATCTGTGTTTGATGCTTTGTTTTCAGGCTGAGAGGCTGTTTGAACTGCCCCCAGAGTTAATAGAGATTCCACCTCAGTGTGTGGACATATTTGTGTGTAGACTTGCTCCGTGTGATCTTGATTGGAGTTGGGGACCTGTCACTATTGACAAAGTGGCAGAGATATTAAGAGAAACAGTACAGAAAGATCGATTTTTAATTGGAAAGGTATTGTTGCTGAAAACTGGACATTTTTTTGTGTATGTGTGATGGCTAAGTTTGAATGTGTCTAATTTGCAAATTAGCCTCTTCTTTTTCATATTACCCAAAAAAGGGTTAAGTTAAGCAGTGCGTAGTGTCAGCATTGTTACTGTTTCTGACTAGGGTGCGTTGCCTGATGGTGATGGATTTTCGACACTAGCTCCCCAGGCAGGATTAGCCACTGTCTAGAGGAGAAATCTAGGGGCCAGCTCTGTTTAGTTGTTATTGTGGTTTCTCCAATTTATACCATATTTTGCTGGAGTAGTACCTACTTAACATTCGCCATGGGTTGTGAACAATTCTCTCCCCTTAGTCTGAGGCGCACACGCTCAGAGAGACTCTCCCCCCCTCTCCTGTTCCCCCTTCCCCTCCTGTACCCCCTCCTCCTCTCTCCCCTCCCCCTACTCCTTCCCTCTTTCCTCTCTTCCTCCTCTCCTCCCCCTCTCTCCCCCTCTCCCACACACTTGAATGCAGTACACTACCGCATATGTCAGGAGCTTAAACTTTGCCCTGGCTGGGCAGGACCCTGCTGGAGGGATAACTTAAAGGTAAATCTTTTGTGTAGGTCAGTGTCATATCTGTGTGGAGGAACACCACTACCAGAGTAATGTCTGCTACATGAACAAGACTAATGGCTAGACATCAAGATGGCTAGAGTCATGAGAAACTGGAATGAAACTGTTTGTGACAAGTTTCTATAGTCACAGAGAGCCAAAATGTGATGTTTCAAGTTTCACTGTGTCAATCAGAAATTTCTAGTTACACAATATCACCTGTCCTGTGAATATCTAAATAATCATTTCACTATGTATTTCTGAGATAGGGTGACAAGGCTCTGGCCTTTGGTCTCTGCAAATGGCATAAAACCTGATTGAATCTATGTAATGCATAATAATCAGTTTTTATGGCGAAATACTTACACACACACACACACGCACACACGTATATATAAATGCACAAGACATCACACTCAGAGAATCATTTTAATTAAGACAATGCCAATGCTGTTGCTAATGCCAACATTGGCTGGATTATGTCAGTCTATTTAAGCCAGATGATGTCCAAAGTGAAAATGAAAATTCATTCATCATTCTTACTGTTTTATTTGAACCATCTGACTAAATTGCAAATTATCCATATTTGAGACTTTAGCTGTAACATCTGTATTTAATGAGAGAATATTTCCTCCCTTCAGCTTGCCTTATTTCATAGAGGAATCCCAATTGCCCATACATTAGTTTCCTAGAAAATCTTTTAATTAATATGTTAAATCTTTATCAATGGTTTTTGTGTTACAGATTAAATATATGCGTTATATACTAATTGGTTTCAGAACTCTGTTTTGCCTTCGTTGTCTTGTTGGGTGGTGAAATTACCCAATATTCTTTGTTGATAATGGTACATATTTAACAACAAAAAAGTAACTCCACAGTTATGAAAGTTTCATAAATACCCATTATAAAGTTATATAGAGATGAGTCATATCATCTCGGAGACATTTGGAATCCCCTAGAATATCTCATAACTGCTTCCATGTAGCTAATCATGTAAAAAATGAAAATTAGCACTTTATGTTTGCATAGACAATTCAATGATTTTTAATTTTTTTGTAAATTGCTAAACTATAAAATTGATTATCTCACTTTATTATGAAAACAGCAGAGTACTAGGAATAATGATAAAATTACATTTTTTGTGTCTATTGTTAAATCTAATGTATGCCTACACACTCCATTATGACGAATGAGTAAAATGGCTAATAAATGTAAAACTAATTTATTTTTTATGCCAGAAACTATATTAGATTTGCTAAAATTAAGTATTTAAATGTATCTAATTGATATTACAAATACATGTTTTGTAACATATTGTATTTTGGGCCTGTTTAATAAATTAATTAATTAATTAGAACAGAATTCTGAAATACAGTAATCAACTCACATAGCTAAGGCAGAGTAAAAGAAAATATGACGTTTCTTGGTTATGCGTCTCTTATTTAGAGCAATACATGAGTATTCAAATTAAAATATAAATTATTGAATAATAGGACATTATCGGGATAATAACAAAAGAGCTTAGTATTGTGCAATGGGGATAAAGACAGCATAGCATTGAAATGCTATTGAAACAATGGTGATGGTACTCAATCAGTAGAGGAGACTTTTGGCAACAGAAAATCATCAGATGGTGGTAGAACCATGAGAGAGAAGAACGGATGTAAGGAAATCAATAGAATTTGTGGAAAATAAGAACATCGACGGAATGTAGTCATAGCCAGGAAGGATAAGTTATCTGAGAGCCCAGGACCAACAGACAAGAGCGCAGAATATTTTCTACCAAGGGAAGTGAACAGAAGTAATTAAGTACAAAGACTTTCACATACCATATACAAGGCCAAGAATATTGTAATTTTTAAGATTAGTAATAAATTAAGTAAGTTATGATCGAAGTAAATATGGTCATAGTAGAATAAAATTTCAAATAAAAATTGTATGAATCTGAGTATGTATGAAAATTATTTTATTTAAATAAGATTTTACATGTGTTAAAGCCAAGATAAATATGTGTTGTATTCCAAAATTACTTGCAGAAATTATTTGATAATTAAACCACTGTAGACATTGTTATGCTACTGTAACATTTCTGAATTTATGTGTTATTGTTAAGAATATAAGACAAACCCTTTTTTTAGAGCCCTTTTTTTTTTAAAAAAAAATAATTTTTTTTAATACTAATGCTTTCCATTTAGGCAAAATGTTCGTCATCATGATGATGAACTGACCAGAAATTAGGCTCTGCAGCCTGTTTCTATTGGTTTATTACAGTATTCTTGGTAGATTTAGTCTTCCAAGTGTTCCTGGTGTTGCCACATCTTTAGAAGTCTCCCTCTATCTCTGATCTCTATTGGTTTGTGCTTCCAGATTAATTTTGGAAATATGTTGTTCATTCTCTGTAAATGATCTTTCCATCTCCTTTGAGACTGTTCTATCTCTATGTGGTTGTTTTTTCTACTAAATGTTTGGTTATCAATTTCTTTCTGATTCTTTATTTCGTAGTCAGTCTATTCTTGTGATTTCCATGTGGTGTCTTAGAAATCTCATGTGTGCCACCTACAGTTTTTGTTTGTTTCTGATTCATTATCCATGTTTCAGAGCCATACATAGTTCTAGGTTTAGCAGCTGTATTGTGGAGTTTGTTTTGTTTCTGGGTCCATGCCTCTGCCAAAGTGTCTCTTGGTTGATTCTATTGTAATTACTAAGTTTGTTTTCTATTCATGAGTTTGGTTGTATACACTTACGATATTTCCAAGGAATGAAAATGTATTTACTTGTTCCTCTAATTTTCCATGTATTACTATTTTGACTCTCCTTTGTTTCTTGCCTTGTATTATCATAACTTTTGTTTTCTGAATTGCTATCTTCATGGAATATTCATGGGCCACTTTTGTTAATTCAAACACTGCTCTTAGTCAATTATCTTCAAAATCAATTACGATAGTCTGGTCAGCAGCAAACAAGTTTGTATCTATCCTCTTGTCTTTTGTGATCTCTATTCTTTGTCTAACTTTCCTTCTCCAGTTTCTCACTAAGTAGTTAATTTATATGTTGAAGAGGTTGGATGACAATCCACATCCTTGTCTTAAGCTACAGAGCGTTCAGGGCAGTGAACGATTTTAATGACATATTGTATAACAGATGAGCGTCGCCTAAG